TATATAGAATATGCGCTGGAACAAAAAGCTTATTAATTGAAGTACCTATATTTCAAGACGACGTTGTTAAAGCTGATTACGCCTTGAGAGGGCCACGCGTACGGAGGCACCATTATGAAAGAGCTCTTTTCAGGTGTCACCTCGTCGACATATTGATTCACCCTTTCAACAGCGATCATTTCCCTCTCAGTTTCCGTAAAAGCATTCACCACACCTCCCAGCAGCCCAGTCACCGATAACGCGTACGAAATTGCGAGTCCCACGAGCCCTAAGTTATAACCACATTTATAACACAAGAGAAAAGAGAAAATAATAATAAAAATAGGGGAAATTACCGGGATCTGCGAGGTCGAACTGGTGTTGTATAACAGCCAAAAGCCCCACGCCGGTTACCATTGCAACCCCTATGAATTGCAATCGCAAACCGAGCCACTGGGCCGCCGCTTGACTTGCAAATTGCGCTTTCTGATTCACTTCCACGTTCTCCTCGTTGTCCCTTTTGAACCTTCTCATTGTTCGGAACGCTCGGATCGTCGATAAACCTTTTGTAACAGAACACATTCATCAAAGAATCTCACTTAATTTAGGCAATACCTGCACGAATTCCGCCCACCTTAATTTATGATAAAATATTATCAAAGTTTATGAATTTCAAGCGGAACATTTTTTTGTCATTGCAAATTTACGAAAGAGAACGTTTTTAGATAAAACTAAAGTCGACAATTACCTTGTAATGATTCATTGAAGTGGTTATACACTGGAGATAATGTAACACTGGAAAGTCGTTTCAATTCCCTGGACGTAAGTCGGTAACGGCTTTGTAACCAGCTGTAAATGGGAATAAGTGGAACTAATACTAAAGTTAGCCAGGGCAAACCATAAATGGTAATAATGACGGCGCCTGAAAATAATTTATAATATATTAGAATACAAAATGTTAATTTATTAATTTTACTAAAATATTGTTAATAGAAAATAATTATTATAATTAAAAATACGTTACTTACCCAAAAGTCCAAAGAATTGTGCCATAAGAATGTTAATAATAAATGGTAAGGAATCGTCGACTGTATAAGTATCACTTGAAAACCTATTTAATATTCTGCCGATGGGTGTAAAATCAAAGAATGTTACTTTTGACTGAAAGAACAGAGAATTATCAATGTAATAATGAAGTAATGGAAGTAAAAGCGTTACCTTCATAATGCTTTTAAGGAGTTGCTTATGAATTTTAGTGGCAGCTTGAACTCCGCCGTATGCGAACAAGAATGCCCTTAGCAAGCTGAAAATGGAATTCAGTAAGACGAATAAACAATAAATCAATAAATAATCCCATGTCGTGTAACCGATGTCCGGCGTTGGAGCGTAGTAAACAATTCTAGTATTGTTATCGTTGTGAGATTCGTTCGCATTGGAGTTTGTTACCCAAAAGGATAGCCACAGGTCGGTCGAATTTCTGGATGTTTGCATGAGAAGGATCGTCAGTAGAATCGCGAAACTCAACAGATGTCCAACGGCTTTCCAATAAGAACCGTAGACACTCGCCCGCACAGTTCCAGTTTCGCGCGATTCCTCATTTAAAATGCTGTCCATGTCCGGACTGCTATCCGTCCTTATGCTCTCCGTGAATACAGAGCTTGTCTGCAGGCTGTCCTCTAATTCTAAATCAACGTGCATCAAATCCATATCATCCAGTATCTCCTCCGGTCTACCTGCATCCACTTAATTCAATTATCCTGCAAACTACTTTTCATACATTTACCTTCTTTTACGATAGTGCCGTTTTCCATTACTAAGATTCGATCCGCGTAGCTCAAGAAATTCACATGGTGGCTGCACAGGATCACGGTTTTATTTCTGTTCTTCAAAAGTCCCACAATACAATGCTGAAATATGTGTTTGGCGACTTTTACGTCGACTGCGGAAATGATATCATCAAGTAAATAAATCGGTTTGTCCTGGTATACGGCTCTGGCTAAAGAAACCCTCGCCTTCTGTCCCCCTGACAAAGTCATGCCACCGTCTCCGACCCCGGTCAAATCGCCGCCAGGCAAACTTTTCAAATCCTCAAACAGTCCGCACGCATGCAATACGCTCGTATACTTAGACTCATCATAATTCCTACCAAACAGTATATTATCTCTTAATGTACCCCTTTGCAACCACGCCTGTTGCGCAACATAACCGAAACCTGTAATTATTATAACGTTAATTGATATTTATAAAGAAACGAAAACCGAACTGAATTATTGACCTAACTCTAAATCGGCTACAGCGACTTGTCCGCCTTGAATTGTCAATTCAGCCAATATAGCGTTTAATACAGAAGACTTCCCACTGCCGACGGTCCCTATTATCCCAACAAACTCGCCCTTAGGAACACAGAACAAATATTTTTACTCTACAAAAGATTAATAAATTCTTCGAATACTCACCTTTCTAATGCAAACATTAATTTCGCGTAAATAAAAATCAGACGGGGTGAGTTCTTCTGGCTGGGATTCCGAACCCTCCAAGGTTTTAGACGACTTTTTGCCGACGCCCTTGTCTTTCACATTCCTCCGGCGTGAGGTACTGTGCAACCGAGTCCTCTCCTCTGCCGTCAACAATTTCCCCCAATTGAATTCTCCGCCTTTGATCACCAAACCGTAATTAGATTCAGAAATGACACTCGCGTCATAATACTGGTCCATGTCTAAATTGGGCAACTGAAAACCGAACGGTTGAGTCTAATTGATTAGAAACTAATGACTTTTCTCACATCTAATAACCGTTGTATACGTTTCACCGAGACCCAAGCCTCCACGACACCGTTTAGGACCCATGCGAATGCATTCAAAGGACTGATCAGCATATTTAGAAGAGCTATAGTTGTGAATACAGTGGAGGCGGTTAATTTATTGCCCAGAGCTACATAAGTGCCGATCGTCAAGACTGAAATCAGTACAGGAGTTGTTGCCCAGAAATACACACATAAAGCGTCCAAATATTTGCGGCCCTTCAGGTATTTCACTTCAGCATTTCTTATTTCTAAAATAAAGTTTATTCTTTTAATTATATAAATAAGTAATATTGAAGAGAAGTGAAAAATCACAACTTAAATTTATATTTTTATATTATATAATACTTGAAGATATGAAATAAGAATAGCGTTGAAGGTTTACGTACTTGAGATGAGTTTAATAAAGTGAGTTTCCCATACGTGGACTTTAATGCTCCGGATTCCCCTCAATATTTCAGTCATCATTTTTACCCTGTTATCTTTCTGCTCCATCATTTTCGTGCTGAGATTGCCGATTATATTAGCTATAACTTTATTGATGGGTATCAGAAGGATACTAAATCCTACACCGGCTAAAAAGGCAATTCCTACTTGATTGTATAACAAGAACAGAGTAACGGCAATCTACAAAATAAAAGTTAAAAATAATATTCGGACATGCGAAAAGTGTTTCTTGTGATATAATGTATATATATTTAGTAGGTAATAAATTATGATGCTTGCCTGAAACGGGATACTCCATAAAGCATGAAAACTGGGACACGCATTCACGACTCGGTCCGTGTCAGTTGACATGAAATTAACAATCTCCCCGTCGGAAAACGCTGATTTCAATACGGTCCCCCCTACGGATAATGTCTTCTTGTAAATGGTGGTTACCAAAGCGGCGCGAATTTTAAGACCCACCATGGACATTAAGAAATTAAAATGCGCATTACAAAGGGCCCCTAAAAATAGAACACGTTTTCTCTCTCGTGGAAGCAACGACGTATTTTAATACCTAATAGCGTGGTAAGACATAAGCCTGCAGCGTAAGCGTAACCCAGATTCACATCTTGCGCTTTGTCTTCTATGAAACTGACTAACTTATAAAGAAGCATAGGCCCGGCGAAGCCGGCACAGTCAGCAGTTAGTTTCAGTAGTCCAATTCCATAGAACTGAAACCAGAAGCAATTGTGCAGCGCCCGAATTAAGGACACGTTGGTTTGTTCTGCCTGCATAAAGGATACATCAGGCAATGAGCTGGAATTGGAATTCGAAGAGTGCTCTAAAAGAAAATGTCCTCTGTAAACGCATCGCTTGATTTCCATATTCACCATCCTCACCGTGGACATTACCGTTGCTCTGCTTTCCTATCAAAGCATCATCCAATTTCCTACTCAGGGTGGTTGAGTTCAAATTATCTGGAAGATCGAATAAATCATCGGGGTGCAATAATTTCCCTTCGGCTCCCTTTTTCATTAAGGGATTAACCCAATAGAACAGAACTTTCGAAAGCCACGGAATATCTTCCATGCCGACTCCAAGATAATTCGGATCCTGTTCCTCAGAGAATCTGCTGAACGCATTTCCGGAATTCGTAAGTAAATTCTGGCGTTCCCCGTCCTGAATTCAATATAAAATTTTAATAAAAAAAAAAACATGCTCAACAGTCTCATCCCCCTTTCAAACATCGACTCACATGAAACCGTTCGTAAGTGACGTAAACCGTATCTCCGTCGTTCGGTATTAGAGTTAATCCGTAGAAGATATGAAAGATGACGTGAACTATGCTGAAGCCATAATAAACTAAGATCTTACGATCAGATTCATCCCTCATCCCATATAAGATCATATTCGATCGTAAAGAAATTGCGCTGCATGCGGCAAGCATCGTCCATAAGACCACAACAAACACGGGTCCTCGGGCGCTCCTTCCCAATCTCCTTCGCAAAGCAAGGCTATATCCCAAGTGACACAGCCAAGCCAAACATTGCACAATTGAGAGCACATAAAACATCGCGTTCATGTCTCCATCACTTTCGAGCGAAAAGTACACCTGCAGGATTGGCAGAAATGCAAACATCGACGCGATAATACATCGGATATTGATTGCCGCCAACTGATGTCTGCCTCTAATAACAAATTCCACTTGTCTACCGGTATAATACGCAGACACCACAGAAAGGACCGCAAGGACCGGAAGCTGTAAACAGAGCTGCTCAAAACAAATGCCCAAATCATGGGTCTTTTGTGACCACAACTGGAAGCCCTCAGGCCCACACAAATCTTCCCAGTACCACTGCATTTCATTCAACGAAGTGTTCTCCATTATCTGAAATAAAAACAAAAACTTTCAATACTAAAGTATAATGAAATAACTTGAAAACAAAAATAAGTGTTTTCAAAATAACAATCTATTAATTCCAAAACATGATCAACAACAACAACAAATATAGCATTTACATAATAAATAAAAAAATATCGAGAATAATAATTATGCTAAGTTCGCATTAAATTCGATATGAAATTGAGTGACTTCCATCACGTATAGATTAGCACGCTCTGGAGTGGCTCTGATAAAATCAAGTTTATGATGGAGATTCGTATGAAAACTTCCTCTAGATGTTACTTATTGTTATTTCCATAATTTCAACCATACTTTATTTCCTTTTTCACGAACGATAATTATTTCAATGGTACAACAAATCAAAAGTGAACCACGCCGTGAAGTAGTCATTAATTTTGGATTACCGAATGCCTAACGAAGGTCATTCATAACGTTCGCCCCCTCCGATGGATATTTGTGCTTTAAATATAAGGGGGAAATACCATGGACGGCGGCAAAAAAGAAGTGCACTTATTGCTATGAATAATAAAAATTACTTTTCATAAGGATAATCCGCAACATGCATCAACTTTTCATCACAGATTGAAAGCCAGGGTGCACGCACAATGGCGATACTAAGTTTCCCCAAGATTGATATTTGGGGTTGCAAAGAAACTAAGATTATTGGATCCAATCAAATCACAATAGAGATGATAAATCCCATAATGCGTATCTGTCATGTAGTATGAAAATAATGATTGCAATAAACTCAATTCATAACTGTATTCTGGTTTACCTAAATAACAATAATCTTAAGATATTTGGAATTACGTCTGTCTATGTACTTAAAAGTTATTTTTTTCATTCAAAGTTCATTTTAATTGATATTAACTGAATAAATCGAATAATTATAATATTTTTTTTATTTACAATTTATCACAAAACTCAATAAATAAACATACCATTTATCTAATTAAATCTATGTGATAAGTCTAGAATATTGCACTTCTTAAGTCTATATGTTTGTGTTGGATTTACTACTAAATTTTCAGCTACTTTATTTGGGTGTGAAGTCATAGAAATAATAATTTAGTTGTGATAAATGAAATTAATTATTTTTGATATAATTACATCTCATAGAAAGTATACATAAATAACTTGAACTAATTTGTATTAATTATTTCCGTATTTAAGATAAATGATTATTTATAAACCTATAATTAAAAATACATGGGAAAAAAATATTAGTGACTGTGACAAATAGATGTCGCTTTTCTATACAACTTTTATATGGTTTTTAATTTACTTTTTATAACTATTTTTATATTAAAATATATAATTTTATGTAAATATTTCATGTTTAAATAATTGCATATTATATATTATAATAATAACATTAAATTTAATTATTTTCAGAGCATTGCATAATTTGACATGGATAAAAATTATTATTTTTTGCAAAAGTTTAAGAACAAAGAGTTCTATTGAAAGTAATTGCAGATATGACTAATAATTTAATCATTGTTTATCGTAAGTAATTGGAATGAAACTAAATGCTACATAAACATGTTATGATGACATCTGTACCAAATCTTTCGAAACACCGGAAAGTGTTGTGTACGTTCAGGTATTAGTTTATATTCATTTTATAATTAAATTAATACCAATTATTAAAAAGTTACTGAACACTTGGCGAGGTATTATTTAAAGTGCGCTTATCAGGTGATTAATTACCTTATTATTTGATACTAGCAAGCTGTTGTAATCCAATATTATAAGACTAGTCGAGGTTTGGGTAAGTCACAGTTTGCTTTCACGTAAAGCTACATTTTGATAGACTTCTTGAAATAAACCGTGCAATTAGTTTCTTACAACTGAATCACTTTACTGTGGAACTATAAGACTTATATTGTTTTAGGTTAGAAAAAATATTATTGTCACAGCTGATAAAAGCAACTAAGATTGGAACGGGATCCGGTTGACTTGAAGGTTTGGCTTTACACCTATAGATGTCTCGAGTGGTATAGAGATGGAACTGGAAATGTTATTGGAACATCTCATTGAACAACCGGAAATTGAATTTAAAAGTCAACAACGAGATGAAGAAGAGTTAAGCTATGAAGAAAAGCGTGGATTAGCTCTAGATATATTGAATGCAAACAAATACGTATTTTTGAATAGATTCGGGAAGTTCTTGAAGGTCGAACATCTGAAATACTTTGAACAGTTTGTTGATGAGACTGACCTCGGGAAGGAACTTAAATTGCTTCTCGATAATATTGTAAATACAATCAAAAAGAATATGAGGATTAAACGGAATAGACGATTCGAAGCTTTGAAGCTTTTGATCAAGGGTGAAATGTATTTCTCGGATTCAGAAATGATGAAGCGGAATCCTTTGCTTTACGATCAACTGATTGGAAAGTATTTGACTGATGAGGAAATTAGGAATAGGGACAGAGCAAGCGGACAATCGACTTTGGTGGGAATTTTAATGGAAGGCATCGAAAGAGATAACGCGCGTGACATGAAACAGCTGCAAGCTGAAGCCGAGGATGATGCGATGGAGGAAGAAGACAGTTCCGATGACGAAGAAGTCATCGCAGCTAAAGCCACCTCTTCTAAATGGGGAGTATGCAGAGACATGGCTGATAAGAGAATTAACAAGAACGAGTTTTACCGAAAACAAAATAACTGCTCCATTACCGCTAACGAGAGAAATTTACTCAGGGAAGAGTTTATTACATTCATGCATCAAAGTTTTCTGGATGGTCTGGACGACTTTAATTATGCAGCGGTGGACGATAACGATCAATATGATAATATTGATATCGTCACTCATGATGCTGAAGATAAATATTTCGATTCGGAGGAACCCGATGAACTTAATATGGAAATCGAAGATAACAATGGAAAAGGGCAAACTTCATCAGAGGACGAGTTGGATACTTACATGAATGCCTTAAAGAATCATCCTGCAATTAACGTGTTATCACAACAACTACAAAAATTATAAAAAAAAATATTTGTTCGTACAAATAAAATTATTCATTATTAAGTATTTCGTTTATAGCTTAGTATAGTTTAAGTGTAAGTGAATCAAAATTTAATTAGGTCGATGACACTAAATAATAAATCAAAAAAAAATTGTGTGGTTCGTGCATATTTTTATTAATGAACGAACGAATCGAGCGCAAATAAAATTATGAAAGTAAAGTTCTGAAACTGGAAATAGATAAACGGCACGTGATAAAATGTACTATTGAATGGACATACATATTATTCTACTTTGAAAGTTGCGCTACTCGCCTGTATCGATTCAGTTTCTCTTCTTTTTCAGATATTATTTCTTGCTCGAAATGCACAAATCTGAATTGGAATACGACGACTCCAATGTGTATAGATATTATTGGACATTTGTAATCTGCTCGTTGAGCGACAGTCCTTTCTATTCCTAGAACCCGATTGAATGTAAAATATCAAAATTGCAACACATCGTGTTATATAAAATGGACGAGTCTCGTGAATATCAATAGATGTTTTGTAGAAATTTTACAATTCCAATAAACAAACAACAAGATTACCTCCTCAACAAAATATATTAACAAAATATATCAACAAAAATAATCAAATTTCAAGTTTAAATATTTCTCTATCTATCTAGAATATAAAAAATAATAAAATTAAGGTTTTCACTTTTAATTATATTTACTTTAATTATATTTTTAATAATATTGTCATGATGAACAATTTTGGATTTACAACTTATAAATATGAATGGATAAACTTTATATTTCAGTGCTGCTGTTATTTGCATGAATAAAACACATTAAATCTCAAAACATCAAATAATGTATTTCTGTAATAATGCTATTAATTGTACTATAGTGATAATTATATGTAGATTTTATATTAATTATATAGTTATAAATGTATTGACTTAATATGGTTCATGCAAAATGTATAGTTTAACTAAAATAAAGTTTAATTATTTTGTTCTTAATTTTCATTTAATATTGCATTTTTTTATATTACAAACAATATAAAAATATATATTTACAATAATACATATTTATTTGTATTAAATCAATTGATGTTAATAAAATAAAGAAGAAATGGTTTGCAAATAATGAATATAATTTAATTGTATTTTATAAAAACTAACATTTTCATCACGCACGCTTTTATGCAATAGAGAGTGAACGTAAATTTAATGCAAATTCGGCGTATACACTGTGGAGTATAAAAAATATCACCAACGACAGCTGTTAAAGTTCATTCTACGCCCATACTTCAACCGATACAATTCCTGTTGCGTGTGCTTCTTGAGCTATGACTGAAATTTATTGAAAGCGTTCCAAATTTCCGTGCGTTCTTTTCATTGGATATATTATATACAATTATTTACACCATATCCCTAATGATGGTAAGTCTTATTTTTATCTTTACAAATAATTATTTAATAAATTTTCTCTTTAAAACTTCTTATTTATTTCTATTTAACGTTCATATTTCATGCAGTTATATAAATCAAAGATGTTGATTTTTCAAAATATTCAATCTGTTATTATTTTTTTTGTATACATAGTTTTAAGAATAGATTCAATTTGTATTAATGTTTCGATCTTTCATGTGTTTGCTGAAAAATAATGTTAATATCATGCGTTTATTTACGTAAATTGTGCTTTATGCTCAATCTGTATGAATTACTGCAACATAATTATTATAATTTCATTCAATTGCTTAATATATAATAACTTCGTTGATTAAAATTATAAGAAATGTATAAAAAAATTATATAAAATGTAACAGAAATAATTTTTACTTATTATAATAATAAAAATGAAAGCTTAGAAACTTAATATTTTATAAATTATTTCCACAAACTTAAATTTTGAATACTATTAGCGTCATATTAACAAGTTTCTGAAATCTATATAAATACCTATAACCTAGTTTCATAGTATTAAAACAAACGTTCGTAAATTTACAAAAAATACAAATTGATGGCATATTTTCTAATGTTTCCAACGTCAATTAGTACATATTTAAATGAATTATCTTTTAATTATAAAGCAACTATTTCACTCTCTACATTAATTACAAATTTATTCTAAATATTTATATGTAAATTGATCTCGTGATCTGATATCAAACGTCTGTACTTCATGAATACAACATATATTTGGTTTCTATTAGTGACCATGTATTTATCTTAATTAGGTCTACTGGATTTATGTACCTGTTCAATTTAATTAATTTAATTATAATACATATTGGACTGAATATGTATTTTTTTAATATACAATACAGTTTATTTAACTTCTAATAAATATTAACTACAGAACAGTTGACAAGTCTATGTGCATTAATAAACAATTGTTATTGCAACAATTATATAAGTAATTGCAACAAACCATTGAAAAGTGTAGATTATAACAAAATTTCAATTAAGTAATGAAAACATTAACATTTCGAAAACATAATTTTACACGGTTATTATTAATTTGACTCATTATGAATAATTAGCATGGTTATGAAAGTGACGCAGCAATTGTTTAATTGTACGAGTTAAAATGTGAAATTACAGGTCGCGTATCGAATGTAATTAATATTTAATAGAATTAATCGATGGGCATTGTCTGCGGCCACAAAACCTGCCGAAAAAAGAAATATTGACCTATTCTAAACGATATTAATAATTCCGTATTCGTATTAGCGATGTGCCGACTGGAATACTGACTGACTTGTTGTCTCTCGCCCACTTTCACCGAAGCCGATGCTCTCCACCACTGTTTTCTAACCCATCCATATTACCGCCTATCATTTCGACTGGACGTCCGTCCGGAAATTTATACGCGCGCGTATTTGCATTTCGTTTCGGAAACTCGAAAATCATTTCTTCTTCTTTCGTTCTTTCTTTCTTTGTAGTGAAATCCAGCTCGGAGCGCATTCCTTGTTTTCACTTCGTCCACACACAAACGAAATAACAATGAACGCATATGGGATTCTACGTGACGTCCAGGAAATGCCTTAACGGTAACTGCATTTGGCGATAACTCAGATGCATCGCTGTATACAAATTAGTATTAGCGTTTGTGGATTAGGTGAATAAATAATCGATTGCCTGCAGATATTTTCCTAAATCTATTTACAACGCGCACGCAATTGATATTAATTCTATACGTCAATTGCTTAATAGATTTCGCTAATTTATTGTTCCATTATTATACAATGACTGACATTTATAAACATTATAATGGACCACGAAAAATTGAAGTAATTCTCATTAAAAATTATCATAAAAGAGACACTACAAATCATTGATTAGTCACGACTTTTAAACTATAATCAAATAAATCATTTTGTGACATTTTTTAATTGATTTAAACAATGAAACCAGTTAGTTATTGATAATTTAACTATTTGCAGACGACCGGCGGATATATTCGCCATATCCGTAAAGACCAAAAATATGTTTATATTGTACTTATCCAGTCCAGTTCATTAATGAGAATTTTATAAATAATCCTATATTAATTTCTTTTCATAAAAATGATACATATACAATAATATATTATAGTTATGATAGAACTAGTTCAATAACAAGGAAAATCTATAAATATATTAGTACTAGTAATTATATCTATTCATAATATTCATACTTGAGACAATATTAAGTTGTTTAACTTTCGTTTGTTATTTATTATTATATATTTGTTATACGGCAGACTACGTTCAGAAAATAAGAAATAACGATTATTACATTAAATTTGATAGATTAAAAAAAATATGTTAATGAATATGAAGTTATAGTGATAGTTATTATGTATGTTAGTTGTTTTGAGGCTGTTCGATAATATATAATAGGCGATTAGTCAGTCGATGGTATCAATGAATGGGGATAGCGCGGAGAAAATAAAGAAAAGTCAAAGAGGGGGCCATGTCGTCAAGCATACTACTCTTTATATGATCAGTCTACAGGCAGTCTCCTTTATATGAGGAAGGTAATAATCGAATAATTAACAGTTCCATTAGTGCTGTCAACGAGTTTAATTAACAAAAACCGAACAGAGGGAAAGAAACAGTGGATCCCTGCAATTAAATTGAACAAACGAAAAAAAATAAAATTAAAATAAATTACAAAATAAAAGCAAGTACATACAAACGAGCAAAAGAAATATTCCGAGTGATTGTGCATTTGGGTTTACGATGTGTTTTCATTCGTTGAACAATCTATATACAGATCGATAATTAGTGGATTACCATTTCTCTTGCACTGCGTTTGATCCATTTAATCAATCTCTTGATAATACATAAGTAAACCTAGGTAAGTCGCATTTACTTAATTATGTTTATTATAAATTAGATTTTTTATAACAATTAACGTTAAATTAAAACAAAAAATAAACATTGGAAGTTATTTATACTAACAAATGTATACAAATTTTATGATTAATTTTCTTTACTATGTAAACACATTCGTTATCATGTTTAATACATTAGTTCTGTATATAATATACATTACATACAATATTTCTATAATTATCAATCAAGAAAATACGTTATAATTTAATTTGTATCAAAAAATGATAATTTTTTAATTGCAATTAATGTATAAAAAGTTCAACTTTTAGGTTGATTATTTATATAAGAAAATTATGAAATTCGACTGCTGGTAACAGTTTGAATAATAAATAAACATATTAGGTTAAATGAAAAAAAAAAATTAACAAGCTATGATTTTGAAGTGAAATTTAAGCTTATTTTCAAATGGTAGAAGAAAAAAAGAATACGCATTTTGTTAAGAATATGTTAGAAAACTATAATCAAATTGAAATTGTTTCAAAAGAGTTATTAATATAATTGTAATATAATAAGTACGATGAATTAAATGCTCGGTTAAGCGACTAACCCAACCGAAAATTTCCAATATTCCGCATTGTCTGAAACCGGACTAATCGAGTACTTTGCAATCGTATAAAAATAAACAGAACAAAAAGAGTTTTTAAGAAGAAAATACAAAATAAATTTGTGTAATAATTTTCTATAAATCATTTTCTCAATTCAAATTTGGTTTGATTTGGAAATTTTTAAATAGTATTTATAAAGGTATTTTTTTTCAAATTATAGACAATAACAATTTAGTAATGAATTTATTTTCTTTAACAAATATATTTAATAAAGGCCTATTTCATGAGGGTCCAAAATGAATGTTTCCTCTCATTTCGTATCAAAATAGAAATGAACAAAAGGAAGTATCGCGGCACACTCAAATCGTTTGGCAATTATGGTTTTCCGATGATCATTAATTAACATACACGCATCGAATTAACATATCTCCGTTAATTAGCCGAGTGTTGTGTGTGTGTGCTATTACAACTAGGCAGCAGCATCGAGAGTGGACTAAGATCATGGGAGGAAGAACCCGTTGGAACAGATTAATATTAAATTGTAATTATGAGATGTTTAGACAGAAGCGGCGATCCCATTCAATACCTGTCAATTTTGCATTAATTATTTATAATTATTGACGATAAAACACGTGCCTTTTATCCGCTATTCTGCCAATAATAAACTTAATGGATTTACTGGTATTGGTATATCGTGAAATAAAGGCTATAAATTGTTAATTACAATGCCTCTTCTCATGTCCTTATTTTGAGGCATTGTCAATCATAAGAAACGATTACTTACATACTTCAATTCTATCTATATTCTTAGGTTTAATTTAGTTGTGTAAGTTAAGAAGTTTTCGTTTTAACTAACCAACGAACATGAAGATGCGTGGTTTTAATACTTTCTACACTCACAAATCACATAAGCTAACGTTTAGAACTACCAAATTTAAATTTAAATTACAATATTAATTGATTATTTCAGTTGCATTTTTTGCTGTTAATATGAAAGATTTCATGAAAACCTTATGATTGGTGAATAGGAAGTAAAGTAAAGTTAATTTGGGTCAGCCTCCAAAACGTTAAATATAATAATTATGAATATATTATAACGTAAATTAAAAGTAACTAATATCAGGCAATTTGAACTTCCGGAAGAGGAATGGTACGTTCTAATTTGCAAGGAAATTAATAAACGGAAGCACGTATTCTAGTTTCAATTCGATCAACGAAAAACCTAATGTTAAAAAGCGGAGAAAGTCGAAAACCAAAATCAAAAAACACTGCTGCAATAAAATTAAGCAATTAACTATAGATTATTCCAAAAAAGATTAATGAACTTTATATATTTACTCATCAATAATTGAATAAATAATAATATAATCTATTATGCATGCAAATATATAAATTTAAAAAAAAACTATTGACACCTTTTTTTGTTTCTCTCGAATTTCATTTAACGGTGAATATTCATTAATGCGAAATTATTGTAAATGATAATCGGACAAGCGAGAATTACTGCGGTGACAATTAGCAATTATCGAATAGAAATTGTAGGTTTTCGCACCGAAAAAATAATTAATCGTTTCTCTAATACGTGATAAACATAAATTAGATCCGATACATCGATAACTGTCACGATCTGTAATTATTTAATTGAAAACTGTGCCTCTCTTTTCTCTGTATCAACTTTCTGTGATTTATTATTGAATTGAATTTAAATCCATTCCGATTCGAGATTACGTGATTTATTTAAATCTCTATCTTTCTTTCTTTCTCTCGCTCGCTTAATTCGCTGATAGATCAATATCGGTTTATAGTTTCTTTAGAGGTAAACATTTTGTAACCAATAAATTATCTTAATAATTTTATTAATAATTTTACAGTAAAAGTTATTTTTAATTGAAATATTATTTTATTTTACTATTTTTGTAACATGTGATTGATCTACTGTAGATGCTAAGATAATTATTTATTTCAACTGACAGACTGAAAGATTGTCGCTTTAAATATTCTTGACAGAGCATACAAATATAGTTCGTGATCAAAAGTGATCTGTAGATAAAACAAGATGAAGTCTCTGGATGAAGAAGGACCATAATGAGATGTGAGACTTCAGGTATAAATTCAATTGGAAAGCGAGCATCCGGTTAGATAATATGGTAATTTGATGGTGTATGTAAATTAGTACAAGCACAATAATTGAAACGAGGAGTGATTGACAAATGTAAATAATGTCAGAGGACCCGAAAGTAGCATTCATCAATGGCGAGATTGTTTACACTAGTCAAGATGAAGTTAAGTTGTTGCGGTCAAAACTGCCGGTAGAGACAGTAATTTATAGTTTAAGGCCAATTGAAGCTTCCTTTGTTGTTTTATTGGCTCGTATATTATCATTAGAGCTGTAGGCGTGATTTGCTATTACAGTGATTCCATAATAAATACGTGTGCCGTTTAAAAACCGCGCGAATTGTCGGTAAGCAGTAAACAAATTCATCAACAGATTATACTTTGCGAGATGTTTCGTTGTTATGTGTGCAGTTGCAACGGCATTTATTTTCATTTGGCTCTGCTGCGTGTTTAGTAACTAGCTAGTAGCACCAGACACAATGCGAACTTTCAATCGTTTTTATTTGCCAGACATTTTCATTTGCAGCTCAAAGTAGGCTACGGCTCTAATTCATGAAACAAAAACGTAATTCCTTGATCCTAATTTCAAGAAAACATTTTTATCCTTAATCTGTACTAATTTGTACAATTTGTACTAATTTTAATCTACAAAAATCATATTAAAAACTCAAACAAACTTTTAGTTTCTTTTGAAATTTTAAAAACCAAGAGTAATATTAATATGAAGTTAATTAATCAACTTCTTATTAAAAGTTATTTTTTTTTAATTTTTTTCATATACGAATTGTATTTTTATTATAAACTTTCGCGTGAAATCAATCATGCGTATAGTATAAAAGAGCTCGACTTTGTATACAAGATTTTACAGTAATTTAAATGACTTACATAAAAGAAGTTTCATAACTATATGCTTCATATTAAAATGTTATTATGTAAAATAAAATTGGTCCACAATAGTTCCTAGTTTAAGTATTGTAAATTTTACGCTTGCGGTCGTTTAATCTTTGTTCGCCTATCAAATTATACGTAGTTAAACAATGGACTTAAACAATACAAATTGGTTAATATTTATCTCGACAACAGATTTCTATTCTTTTCATCTCTATAAACGTGTACACATAGATATATATGCTGCACATATACACAATTTTTTTTTCCATTAATATTCTTATAGTTCTTTATAGATAAGTTGATTCGCGGTCACGATTTCGTGACCGACGTGTTTCATATTTAGAAGAAGGAAAAAAAGGTATTCTCCTTCGTTGCAGCGATTTACATTTTCGTGGCGTGCAAACAACACCGGATTTTCACTGTAAAACGTAATGTTTGTTTAGATTTAAGATGTAATTACTTTGGGAAAGCTTTTGAAATGATGATAGCACAGCGAGAAGAACGAAGACATTTGTGTTATCGCAGGTAATAAAAGTTTAAATAAAAATTGTTACAGTTATTTCAAACATTAACAATAACACACAAAAAATACAATTTCACTCATCGCTTTCTGATTTTATAGACATATTTATGTAAATATAACAACAACAGTTATATAAATATTTCTTTTCACGTACTACAATTTTCATAATTGTTAGTTTCATAATTTTTTGATTAAATTATATTATTCATCATTATATACTGTATATGAATATTGTTTTTTTCTAAATCCTAATAAATATGTGTTTATTTGCGTGTAATATTAATTATGTAATGAAGATGATGAAAAGAATACAAACGGAGATGTACTTCTTCCAGTATAAAAGTCGTAATGTATTGGAGGACACGAAGTGTAAAGACATTAATAAATGGAGGTGTGCGTAGGTCATCGCGTTGCCTCGGTAATATTGGTAGATAGGGAACCTCCCAAAGAGCACTTAAAGGTGTCGTGAGAACCAGCGTAGGTGGTCATGTCATAAATAAATAAATTTGCTCCGGAGATTATTCTTTTTTTTCTTACAACGAACTCAGTCAGATATTATTCGTCCATCCATACGCAAGAAACGTACGTGATTTGTCCTATTTTTATGTTGTTTCCTCTCGACGTTGTGTAGTTTCCAAAACAATTATCCACTCATAAATTTGTACACACGTCCAAACGAATAATAAATATAAACGAATGACGGATTGTGAGATGCGTTCTTTCGAATAAAATGGTGCAATAAAATCGTATTTATTGTAAAGAAAGAAATATCATTTAAAATTGCAATTAGGAGAGAGAAATTGCGTGTAATTTACGATTTCAATCATATTTCATGATCATTGTCCCGTTCCTTCTTTTATACAACACACACACACACACAGAGACATACAAATATTTTTTTTTAATCAAATGCATTCAATGCGAAGATTGCGAGCGAACGGAAAATGCGGAATATTCCATTTATTTCAAAAAGAATACCGGCATTTTAATTGAACGGTATTTGCGAAAGAAACCAGACGTTGGTACGAGATGATATGGACAGACGAAACGAACTGAATGTAAAAATAAATATATATTCGCAAGCGTTCGTACACATGCACGAATAATTGTAGAAAGTAAATATATCGCGGATAATTATAATTTCTATTTAATTTTCTTTCTTGGTGATTATATAAACTATTATAGAACTGGTTGTATTGGAACGCAAATATACGTTTGCGAACGTAATTGGATAAATATTGAAGTGATTTCACAAGCCGGACAAGAACAAATCGTTGTATCAAATATTAATGAACGGATATTCAATTTCAGCTTAGCAAAAAAAAAATAAGAAACGACTAACTGAATAATAATACGCTGTTGAGTTTGATTAATGTATGCATAAATATTGATTGCTTAAAATTAGCGAATATCTGCAAATAAATGATAATTTCTCACGAAGCTGTGCGAGACAGAGATAAACAACTTACAGTTATTATTGAAGCAAATCATTTAGTTTTTGTTTGTTGCTTGATTAGGTTGTTGTTTTATTTATTATTTTTGGCAGCGACTTTCTCCTTTTATGTGTTGGTAATATTGCTTTTCGGCAATTATTATTTGATGTTGATTTATCCGATTCATAATTTCATTCGATTATTGCAGACAATAACTATAACATAATATTATTTCTTTCTTTCATTTGCAGAACATGAAAAGTAAAAATCGCCGATGGTTGTTTGCATGGGCAATAGCCTCATCCCTGCTTCAGATCTTACAGTGCGAACCGGTGGAAGTAAACAACGTAGTTAACAGCACGAAACATGGTAAATATACACTATAAGATGAGGAAAATACTATTTCCTATTCGAATTAACTGGAAGCAGCGGGAAGCTCCAATTTACACATTAAATATTTAAATGTATGCGAATGCGGTTGCGTAATTGATTGAACGCAGTTGTATCGCGCGAAGGCAATAAAAGTAAAACCATATGCCATATTGTGTGGCATTTTTACGCATACGAATTTCTAAATGTATTGCATTGATATGAATAGGAAAGATGCGTAGCAAGAGAAGTTGTTGATACGATTGATATATTCCGCTAAGTGCCATGAGTTTTAGTGCTCTATGGGTTAGTGTGTCAACTGCGCTTCACAATGCAACTGGAATATTACAACATCTCTTAAACATTTGTTTCTTTTATTTGATTTCTTGTTATTTACTAAAGATTACATGTTTTTTCTTTGCAGACGACTCGATAGGTACGAAAGAGGTTCGGAGCATATTTTCACCCCAAATGGATTACGAGCAGTGGACGCCCGTAGGTAGAGCCGATCCTTTCAACGACCCTACTTATGATTATGTTCCGCCAGTTTTAGAGCGTGTACATTACTGGGTCGATCCAGCGCAACGTAAACCTGATCCTCCCTTACCGGGTGAAAATCAGAAGACTGAGATCTTGGTGCTCGGAGTCAGCTCCAATAAACCAAGCAGTCCCTCGATAAACGCAGAATCAAGAAGGGATACCTACGATCCCTTCGTGAAATTCGTCGACGGGCCAAAGTTTCAAAGTACTTACCAAAGAATTTCGCGACCACATTTCCAAATGCCTTCGTATCCCTTCTTCAACTCGCCCTACCATAAAGCCAAGGGCAGTTCCGAGAGGGTGGTCTATAAAACCGAGCAAAGAGTACCATACACCATTTTAATGCCACCGCCTATACCCTCGTCAAAACCAATAACGGAGTCGTTCACAACCCCGAGCAGCACGTCATACACGATCCAAGAAGCTAACCTCATTTACCAATCGAGTACAACGAGCCAGCAGCAGCAGCAGCATGAATGGAAAGACGACAAAAATTTCTACACCGTCGCTGATTCTAGCAGCGTAGTTACTTGGAGGACTCCTCTCCCGTACGAGTTCAATGATCAAGCTGAGAAAGTGAAGAATACTACGGAAGAAATTCAAATTAGCGGACCAGATCTTATGTTCAAAGGACAAGTTTCTAATGGGGACATGGACGTATCAAGCACTTACGTCAATATTGGAAAGCCCGAAGCTCAAGTGCATTCGATTTCCGGAACTTCTGCAATGAACGTTGATCCTCCGGTTTTGACTCAAATGAAAAATCCGATAACCTTACAATCTCTTCAAACTATGCAAACAATGCAACCACCATCGATGGCAACAATAAAATCAAACTCTTTGGCCACATTATTGGAAAAGGAAATAACTCCAGCAATGATGAGTACTTACATGGCGAATATTCCCAAAGCTACAACTAAGGCGTATACAACAACAACAACCCCTATACCAAGCACAACATCAATCCATTCTTTGACAACGGATCCTTTGTTCAGACATTATAAGCAACCTTCTGAGCCGCTCAGGGGTCCAATGTATTTAATAATTCAAGGACACTCCAAGGTGAAGACATATGGACCGTCTAAACAGATGCATGGGATCAAGATACACGAGAGCAACGAGATTCCAATCAATGATTACAAAGACGCATTACAGGTGAAGCATTTGCACTCATACAAAAAGAAACCTGAAGAGACTGCACGGATCGGGAGGGCTAAGAATTTCGATACGCTCTCGCAAGCCGTCCGGACGGGTTTCGGTGCCATAGAATATGCAAATCGCGACATTCAAGAGACTGAGCTGACAGCTGGATTCGATGTAGAAGCCGCCCCCGCTTCCAGTGAAATCTATCACAAAGGAATCGTGGAAGAGGCGAAATTAAAAGAAGCTTAATCGTTTGAAGAGGAGAAGAAGAAAGAGAATACATGTGATTTCACTTTATGTTCAATTTAATAATTTATGTCAATTATTTAATAAATTTACTTTATTATCATTATTATTTATTTCTATATTTATATTATTATTATATTATGTACTTGTGTGTATGTATTATTATTATTTTTTTTTATTTTGTATTGATTTATTTGTAAACGCACTGCATTTAAAATAAATGTAATTTTTAAATTTCATTTTTCAATCGCGAACAACTTTCCAACATGTGTTCTCTCCGGTTTTCAGATTTCATTTAATTAGTTGCAATTATCACAAATATTTAATATGGAGGAAAGGCATCAATAAAACATGCAGGTACGTCCGTGAGATATTTTTATTTCGTGTCTGCTGCCTCTCTCTCTCTGTCACTCGATCTTCTTGTTCCTGTGCCGTCGTTCCTCATCCTTCATCCTTCCACTTCTTTAGTTTAGATTTTTCTTTTCCGATTTGATTTCAATTAACGCAGGATTCCAGTTGCTAATAATTATATAAAAAAAAAGAGTCTTCTTCTTGAGAAAAACTTCCACGTCAATCATGTATTCTCGGAATGATTTTCTACTGCAGTATGCACGTTTTGTGCTTATATGGATGGCTCTCGTCGCCACAAATAATAATAATAATAATGATAATATTAAGGAACAACGAGCGCTGCGAAATGCGGCGTTAGCGCTCGAACTCTTTCGGGACACCTGAGAGGTTGAGGTGCTAATGAATTAAGTAGCCCGGAGAAACGGCTAAGTGGCAAAAGCAAATAGAAAAACTGTATTATTATTGTAGGGCAATTTTCACATAAATTAAGTTTAAACAGAAGTGATGTAAAAATATTCATTGAGCGTTAGTGTGTGTTAGTGTGTCAAAGTGACTTTAATGCAAGGCACGCTTATGTCTAATTTATAATCCAGTTCTACTCGATCGACGAAATGGAAGAAGAAAGAACACAAGAAGAAGAAAAAAAAGGAGGAAAGACAGAAAGACACAGAATGAAAGAAAGAACGAACTAGAGAGAACGAACGAATCAAGTGCATCGTCTATATAACTAATGATTTCCTAGCTCCTCCACAGGAAGCATCACATTTGGAGATCTGCGTTTTTCAGCCGACAACTCCTTATCCACGCAGCCATTATCTACACAGATTCTGCGTATCGTCTCCACTGTTCTCAATTAATTTATGGCTTCTCACTTTGTCACGCCTTTATTATTACTCACTCACTCGCTCGCTCTATTCTATACTCGTACGCTGTTGCATTACACGCACTGCACTTGATCACAGTATGCAGCGGAAACCATCTTCTCGGCAAGAAGAGGAAAAATAAATTTAAAAAAAAAAACCGATTGAGTATGTATGTGTGTGTGTGTGTGTGTAAGAGAAAGAGACGAAATATTTGGTATGAATTAACCTAAATTTCAAAGATTTATAGCAATGGCATACGATGCCGCGCAAAAATAAATATATTGTAATTATAGTGAGAAGAAAGGACCACAGGTGTTGTAGCCACGCTGTCTGCGGCTGGTTTTTAACAAACGGATTCCGCCCGCCAACATTGGAGGACAAGGATCGATTCTGAACAGAAAGAGAGCGAAGAAGATGGAGACGCACACATAACGATGAAACTCTTAAGGATTTGTGTCTTTTTTTTTAATCTAAAACTCAATTATTTGCACACTTGAAATAGAATTTCCTCAAAAGATTTACTTTCGATTTTCGTTGTTTGTGGTGACCCGGGTGGGGGCCACGTGTTTGATACTTCTCTAATGAATTAAAGAATCTTACTCTTGCCCCAAATAGACCGATTATTAAAACTATCACTTTTTTATATGCTATCGTTTTTGCTAAGCAATAAATCTTATACCTTTCGTAAAAGTTCTACTCGTCAATGAGTCAACCATTGAATTTTAGTCATAGATCGTTCATTTATTTATTTTAAGATTACAATTTAGCGGTTGTACAAATGCTGTAATTCTGCTAACTCTCTATTACAAGTGTGAAATGAAAAGCCAATTATCCATTCTATGTCTTTATATTGATTATTAATTATCGTTTAAACAACGCATTATGAAAATCGTTCGAAAGTTTGCCTAAATATTGGCATGTTTTTAATCAGGAACTTGTTTTTTTTTAAACGTCTTGGCTAATTATAGAATCCGTTTTTTTTGTCGTCGTATATTTAGATAAGATTTGACTAAAGAAAGTAACCCAATGTACAAAAAAAAATATTGAATTAGAAAGAAGTATTATTAAGTTTCAATTTAGATAAATCTTTGATGTATTCTATTGTATGATTATATTTCTCCCTTGAATTATACTTTAATGTTTATTTTATACTAAATACGTTTTTTAACCTAATTGGCCCTTTGTAAAAATGCCAGTAAATAAACATAAGTAGATTAATATTGTTATTTATAAATAAATTTAAATTTATTACTCGGAAGGCAAAACAAAATTATTTAAAAATTACTTTTTGCTGTTGTTCCGTTTTGTTTCTTTGTTCATTTGGTTAAAAATTTACATATTTATTAGATTTCCAAGGTGATTTAAACGTGAGGTTGTGTTTTAGTCAAATTCCGCGACAATTTGATTTAATCTGAATGAGACCACCAGGTTAGAAGTTATCAAAATCAAGTAACTTTCCCAACAAAAAAAGAAGCACTTGCATAACGTTCGTGCAAAAAAAATAAATAACATTGATGATGTACGGTGTACACATTTAAATGGAAGTAAAAGAAACCGTGCTGAGGGCACGATCGAGCTGATTCTGGAATTAAAAGTGGAGTAAATGAATTAAATGAAATGTAATTCGTTCGGTCTGGTTTTTCGGCGCTCGCAAAATTGGCCAAATTGTGTGCTCGGTCTTGGGAATCGTTTCTCGAAATGTAATCGGGCCGTAATAATACTACCGCATTCAAAGGGAACAATTATTGGAACCTGCTTAAATCGTTAAAAAGTTAATTGTTGTATGTACTGTGTGTGTGTGTGTGTACTCGGTCGGACAATGCAGACGAACCGACCGATATTTATTTCACCGTCACCGAAGAACGCTCGCTCTTTCCAACATTCGAAGGAAATCTTCGTGACGGCAATTTTTTAATAACCTTGTGTCTCTTGAAACGGAGCTTCGAAGTACAAAGTTTAATTTCATCGCTAAATTATTATTGCAAACTGTAATAAAACGTGGGAACACTCATAACAAAATTATTATTAAGTTATAAATTATGTCGACTTTATCACCTGCGTTTTATTTGCACGGTAGCCTTTTCTACCGACAAGATTTACAACGCACGAACAATGGCTCAAGTTCAATTACGTTTTAAATGCTACATGTGCCTTACACTTTATGGGATGTATTCATACTGATTTAGAAGGTACCAACTATGAAACAAGCACTCGAAGTACTTGTTTTACGTATCCGTGATGTGCTAAAACTCTTAAACAACTTTAAGTCTATTATAAGATTCTTTATCATTTATATTACAATTTTTGTCATGTTTTCTAAATATTCCTCTGAAAACACATCAGAATCTTACAAGTAAAGTTTATTCTGAACATCAACTTTTATTTCCAAGAATATTGATTTCTTCCAAGTATCATAGTAGTTATTGTCTGTTATTAATTAGATGATTAAGAAAATATACCGTGTTTTATAAGTTAAATACAATTTATTTCTTTTTATGGTTTATTTTATATTAAGTCCAGAAAACCGGAAAATCCAGAAATCAAGGTCAACTTCTGCCTCAAGCCTGGATAAATAGTCCAGTATCTGTACTTTTAATTTCTATTATCCACCAATATTATTATTGTAATATAAGAAAATGTTAGGAGCTTTTATAAATTTGTCATATTTATATAAAATTCTTAAGTATCAACATATTAATAAGATTAATGCTGTTAATAAATAAACGGCGTAATCATAAAATTTCAATTGATATTTGTCAAACTAGTGTAGAACGTAATGGAATCAATTGGGGATTTAATGAGATTAAAATAAAACAGTAGAATGAAATTCTACATTCCATTGGCAAATCAGGGTTTAGTCTAGACGTCGTCTGCGTGTCAGCTAGCCAGTGTCTCTCTCTTTCTCCTCTATGCACCACAGTCAGTGAGTGTGTGTGCATTTTTGAAATAAATGGACATCGACGACGTCCGCTTTTATGTCCGACATACATAACACATTTGGTACAAATTTATTGTTCAAAGAAATCAAATAATTCAGCGTACGTCCATCCAATTGCTTAAATCGTCAACATTGGATACAGCTTTCAAATTTATCGACAGCCTACGAATTCAATAAATAAAATATAGATTTTACAGTTTCTTCTTAGATATATTTTTATAATATTTCCATATTTTTCAATAAAACTAACGATATTTTATAATATATACTATACTGTATCATTTTATATATTGATAATTATTAAATTAAAGCAGAAAAACCTATGGTCAACATCATTATTATGATTACATGAATATCTTTTTGATTGATTAAATATGTGATAAAGCGATTAAGAATATTATAATATCGACAAATTTGACTATTAAATATAGAACAATGAAGTTGCATTAAAAATACTTTTGATATAATTCAGATTATCAGATTATCAACATGATTTATGGTTTAAATCGTTAATTGCAATAACATGCATATTTCTTATCTTGATGTAATTTTTATAATATACACATTATGTAAAATACATATAGAGTTATCATTACAATAAGGCAATTCTAATTAGGAATAATAGGAAATGAATGAGGCGACTGAGATTAATACAATCTAGGATATTTTAGATACGATATTTTAATGTAGAATTAAAAAATATGTTTATGATATTAGCATATTATTATAATAAAAATCCGAGTTGTTGTAATAAAAAAAATATTGAAGTATAAAGATTTAAAAAATACATGATAATTATAATAATTGTTTCAGTGAGTGACTCAATATGTTTCGTATATAATAAGGTCTTTTGTGTTGTTGAAATGAAAAAGTGGTACGAAGAGAGGAGAAGAGATCGAAGATTTGAGTGTGTGTATTCGTAATGCATTCCATTATACTCTCTGTTGATGGGCATGTGGCTTGTAATTTGTGGCTTCATAAATTTCAATATAATGTATTTGCAGTGCAACGATTTGTGTTGTAATTATTATAATTTAACATTATAAATTTCCGATACACGTAACGATCGACGACGGTACGAACGCAACGCAGCGCAGCGCAGCACACACGGCCGGATCGCATTTCGTACGTAAAGTAAATGTGAGCTGCATTCTTTTTGAATCATAAGATCAATTAATTTCATTGAGAGTATGAAGGAAAAGTTTCCCACAGTATTTTCGGTATCGGGCCACCCCGAGTTACAAGTGAGGCTGCGTGCAGTTACTAAATTATAGCCCCGCGGCTAATTTAAAACTCATTTCATTGTATAACAGTATAAGTCCTATATACACTCACTCACTGAGATACATGTACATTCATAACCGCGAAACAAAAAAAACATAATAAAAACATGACAAGTCATCCATGTTACAAATATTTTATTTCATTGTTAGAACAAGTCTCCCCTACCAACAGTTCCGTTGATTTTCGGTTTTCTTCGGTCGACCCAGAAGAAAAAGAGACCTAAAACGTCTTTTTTTCATCTTCGATCCTTCTTATTTTCAGGCGGATTTCTAAGAATTGGCGTTCGGTTAAATCGCACAAAGGGCACAGTGGGAAGAAAAAGAAATTGAAGACTGATCGGATCCCATCAGCTTACACTCCCAGTCAAAAGTTCTTTTTGCAAATTGTCTCTCATTATACAATACCTGCTTCAAAATAAAGACAATCATCGTTAAATTTCAATCATAAAATGAAGAAAAATCATACAGATTTTGGTAGATTGATCCATAAACTAGTTGCTTGAGGCAATAGGAGCGGTCCCGAAACTGATGCAGAATCTATTCATGTTGCACACAAATTCAGTGAAAGTCCATCATCAATCGGTGCGAGCTGCTTCTGATTTCTCAGCCGATGATGCGATTTGAATTCCATTTTGGCGATTCGCTTTTGAATTCATTTACGATGAGCAATAAAAATCGTAAAGGTGCGCTTATGTTTGTATTGGGAGTGTCCCAGCATTTATTTATGTTTTACCGGGAGATTGGGTCAAGTGTCATTGGCGACCTTTTGTGGTCACCGGGGTCAGCACCTCTTTACAAAACCATTGAAATCCAACTACCAATAATAATAATAATTTATACAATCATAATGAATATACTCAGCGGCTTCAAACCAAAATCGAGCAAATTTAATAATTTATTAACTAAATTTAGTACTAAATAAATATTTATTAAACCATCAACAATAAACTCACTTTAGAGCCATCTCTTAGTCAACGGTTACTTTAAATTTAAGCGACTTTCTTGCTTTCAAGCTTTCTTCCACGAATTCAAGGTTCCTTTGATTGAACGCTTCCTCGTACTCAAATATAATAATATTAAACGGATTAAAATCGATAATTAATTTGCTCACATTAGATTTGACCGTAACATCGGTTGACTAACTGAATAATGAATTAATTGCTCGACATTGAAAGAATATTTAATGGACGTAATGGAATTATAAAGTTTAAAATACTTCTTGTGGAAAAGCTTCAATATAATTTATGCATTGGTACGGTGGTGTGCATCAGAGTCGAGTCCAATCACGAGCGAGGAAAAGATCGATTAATTACGAACATTTGTGGAAATTACACGTCGGCAAAATTCTAGAAAAAAAAGTAGAATGGTGAACTTGAGGCTACCCAATCCCACGAAGTGGCTTTTCATATCATTCCCTTCTCTCTTTATATCGATGTGAACGATGATTAGAGTCGAGAGCTTTTCTTTTCAATTATTTACCCATGTTTCCCTCTGTAATAGTATAGGCGGAATGCGTACTTTATAATTTATTCTTCAACATACATAGCTATGGTTCCTTATAATCATTGCATTTTTTTTCAACCTATGCAATTTATTTCAAAATTATGAAATATATATTAGCTTTATTGATTCACATCGTTAAAATAGTTCAGCTTCCTTCAATATATCATATAAATATGGGTATTTTCGAATGACAGATTGGATCAAGAGATTATTCCTAAGAGAATGTAACAGATATAAACTGACGTAAATTTAAATTATTCATTTATTACATTCAATTATTTATGTTAGAAATAATATTTACAAACATGTGTAGAGCACTCAATTTCAACTAATTTGTCGTAAGAGGACGTTAGGTGTTCCGATTTTTAATTAGTTTAACTGAGACATTGGAAATTTAAACAAGCAGAATCTATAGTTAATTTGAATGTATTTCATTTTTATCCATGTTCTATGATGTTGATTAGTGTATAAACCAGTTGAAATTAACATTATAATTAATTAATTACTACTTTAAATTATGCTACAGAGTGAAGCCTAAATGCATGAAGTTATGTAAATACTCATCAAAAATCATATCAGAAATTGGTTAACTTTTGAAAATTAATTCATTGAGGTTTATTACTAATATTTTTTATCTGTAATTATCATATTAAGTTGATAATTTGTCATTTATGTTAACACTACTTTTATAATTTTATTTCAATTTAGTTTAAATTCCATTCCAGGAACGTTTACAATTTAATGTCTGTAATTCGATCAAATCGAATATAATTGTACGTCTTCCTTGCAAACTTCCACATACATTATGCAGCCAAACTTAAGAAACTAAAAGCGTTGATTAATAATTTACATTAATGATAATATAGCATCAAGTAATCACTCCTTGCACATTTGAATAGATTTTTTTTAAATAACAAATTATGATATTTTATTTTATTAAAAATATGTTTTTATTCAATTTTATTTTGACTATAACTCTATCTATGAATCTTGTATTTGTTCTGATTTTATAGGTATTCAACAATGAAATTCTTCAGTCATTCTTGTAGATTAGTTAGTATTAACACTTTAATTAGCACTAACGAATTCAGATTAATCAATGTAATTCATCATTTCGTATATTGGTTTTGTTTTTCTTAAATTGAGAAAACTTTTGAATAATAATTATTATTTCAGTAATTGTTAACTCACCAAATGTAACAAGACTATTTTTGTGCCAACTACAATAAATTTATTTGTCAGATAAAGGGTGAAGACTTGTTTAACTTGTAAATCGATTCAACTATCATCAGTTCAAAAAATGTTGTTGTTTAACTTTCAAAAACTAAAACTGTTATTAGACGATTTTTTTCATACAGCATTTAAAATTGAATTATTGAACAAGTATTCTTTAGAAAAGTCCATGTGTAATGAACTTGATAATTTACTCTTATACATATTTAATATTCGTAATTAGTCCTACGTGTGCCTACCTCTGATGCGGTTCACATATTTAATATTTACGAGCGACCATTGATTGCACATCTTTAATTATTTTAATCAAACGCAGAAATTATAAATCGAACTAGACGAAAACACATGCATCCATACAGAGACGACATAATTCATGGTCAATGTATGTACAAAATTGGCATACATACGCACGTGTCCTTCACAAAAATTACATGTTTATGAAAGACAATGAGATCTTAAATTTTATAATTTCATATTATTTTCGACCAAAAAAGTATGTTTGCGTTAGTTATTATTTTTTTAAAATTAGGTCTATCTCTAATAACAGAACAAGAAGAAAAAACACAACTTGTATAATATTCTTTCCTTAGCACGAACGAAATGCAAAAAAAAATACAGTTTACTACGTGAATAATGAATTGGAGTATTAAAACTTTGTCTCTCAATTGATTAACTATTGTGAGAAGCAACTATTTCTCTCGGTTACGTAAACGCGTGATGTTTTTTTTTATACATATATTTGAATTGCGTCTCTCTCGTCATGCATAATATACAATTTCATCCCCTCTAGCTGAACGTGATATAAGTAAATGGCATTGGGAGTAACATCAGTATTTGATAGACAGTCATTAGCATGCAGTCATATTCGTACGCGGCGCATGAGGACTGAGACGAAGTTCGTCAAGAGATTCTTGAAGTTGATCTTTCCTCAGCTTGGGACCGCCGAAAAGGGAGTGAAATTAATCAAGCTCAGTGTCCGTACGTACAAGACAACCAAACGAATTCGGGAAGCGAGAATGAAGCTCGCATATAAAGTGGGAATCGGCTCCGTGGGGATGTTCGTGTTCATCATCCTTTTCGGGTGGATTGCTTTCCCAAAAATATTGAGTAACAAGATCAAAAGTGTAAGATATTTTAAAATAATAATTATTATTATTAAATCATTTATTCTTCGAATTTTTGATTAAATTATATAATACTTTCAGATGTGCACATTGAAAGAAGGCACGGATATAAGAGAGATGTATCTGAAAGTACCTTTTCCATTGGTATTTAAAGTCTATATGTTTAATGTAACTAATCCTGTTGAAGTCACAGCAGGGGCTATACCTATTGTCCAAGAAGTTGGACCTTTTGTATACGAGTAAGTTTTTTTTAATAATTAAATATTTAAATTATCCCAAGATAACAACAATTAAAACTATTTTACTCTTATTTTTTTTTATTCATTATTTATTTGACATTGAAATAATTGATTTATATTTAATTCTTTAAGATTACAATTCAAGTAAGATATTAAGAATTAAACAAATTATATAATATATTATAAGAATTTCATTTATGATGTTTAAAATGAATAATTTTGAAAGAAAATTCCACTTCGGATAATCTTATCAAATTGCATTTTGTGTTGTGTGAGGAAAAAGACAATTTTCTTTTTTTCTGAATTACTAGAAATCTGCATTGCTCTCAGTCACTGGGAAAATTGGCATTTTTTTATATAGTTTATGTTCTTTAGCGAATGGAAAGAGAAAGTTCACATAGAGGAAGATGAATCTGAGGATACAATGACTTATACTATCAAAAATACGTTTATATTCAATCGCGAACTAACAAAACCATTAACTGGGAATGAACTAGTAACAATACCGCATCCGCTTCTTGCTGTAAGTTTTATCAATTCGGGGTATATCTTATATAAAGTATTAATTTTGTAGGCCTTAGCCATGGCCGTTGAAAGGGATAAACCTTCTGCTTTATCTCTTGTGAACAAAGCTCTGAATAGCATCTACAGAGGACCAACAACACCATTCTTGACAGCTTCGGTGCAGGATATTTTGTTCGATGGAGTTTACATTTTATGCAACGTATCAGATTTTGCTGGCAAAGCTGTTTGCGCTCAACTAAAGATGGAAGCTACAGACCTGGTCGAAGTGGAACCAAATATTTTTAGATTTTCTATATTTGGACCGGTTCGTTGATATAATCTCATTGTAGACGTAATAATAAAAAAATAAATTGCAGAAAAATGGTACTTTAGGGCAAAGGGTCAAAGTTAAACGCGGTGTAAAAAATTCCCACGACCTGGGAAAAGTCGTTGAATTCGAAGGACAGACTGAATTGGAAATTTGGGGATCTGAAGAATGTAACACTTATCAAGGAACGGATACAACAATATTTCCACCGTTTCTAACGAAAGAAGAGGGACTGGTTTCCTTTGCACCAGATCTCTGCAGGTAATTTTAACAAAATATGAATACTGAAACAATGTGATAAACATAGATATAAAATATGTTATTTGCTTAAAGAGTTTTAGCAGCGTATTATGTTGATGATACTAAATACGCAGGATTGCCTGTGAGGCGATATTCAGCAGATTTTGGTGATCCATCGTCTAATCCCGAAGATCAGTGCTACTGCCAAGCTCCAGATAAGTGTCTAAAAAAAGGGGTTTTCGATTTATACAACTGCATCAAAGCTCCTTTAATTGCTTCTTTACCTCATTTCTACTTAAGCGATCCAAGTTATGTGAACGGTGTTAAAGGGCTCAATCCGAACGCAAAAGATCACGAAATAACAATTCTTTTTGAATCTGTAAGTGATTTTCTATTAATTTAAGATACACATTAATTGAAATTATTTTTAGATGACCGGTTCTCCTGTAGCTGCCAAAAAGAGAATGCAATTCAGTTTACCCGTTCACGCTTTAGCCAAAGTAAATGTAATGAAAAATCTAGCTGACACAGTGATTCCTTTATTTTGGGTCGAAGAAGGTGTAGAATTGAATTCGACGTGGACCAAGCAGTTGAATGACCAACTTTTCAAAGTGCTAAAAATCACGAAAATCATGAAATATTTGATTTTGGTTATGTCGATGGGCGGAATGGGTGCCGCTGTTTACTTACACTACTCTAGGAAGAAGGAGGTCACAATTACACCTGTCCGTAGTACAGAGACCAGCAACGGGGAAACTAACAGAAGTAATGTTATCAGTATGTTAGGACAAAATAAAGCGTTAGGTGGTCATGTAAACCATGCGATGTCTGCCAACGAAATTGATAAGTATTAGATCAGTTATAACATTGCAAATTGCTCACTTTAGACGTTGCAAATGTACAAATTATAATATTAGATTTTACCAAAGACACATAGTTTTATAGTTCAGTCTGTGATCGCAACGATATAGAATCATTTACAAAGAAAACTTCACTTGTTTAGAATTAGAATAATTTCAATATTTTATTTATAGTCAAAGTTTACTGTTTGAATTTCGTTATTTAATTGAATAAATAAATATAATTTTGAATAATATTACTTTATTTACATTCCCACTACAAACTGCCACTTTTTAATTTTAATAGGAATCCCTTAAGAATCTCATAGAAACCTCTCAAAAATCACATATTAATCCCTGTAGAAATTACTTGGAAATATCAAAGAAATGCCACTTGAAATCCCTTAGGAATTTTATATACATCTCTTAGAAAACCTGTAGAAATCTCTTAGAAACAAATTTCCACTTTTTAATTTTAAATAATTATTTACATTAAATCTTTTAATAGGTTGCAATGCGTTAAACTACAAATAATTAAGTGACAGAAAAGTTAAGAAACGCTCAACTTTATTATGTAATTTCAAGCGTAGAAATATCATAGGAATTCCTTAAGTCTCACAGAAACATTCCAGAAATCACATATTAATCCCTGTAGAAATCACTTGGAAATCTCAAAGAAAAACCACTTAGAAATAGAACTGTAGAAATCTCATAGAAACTTTCAACCTTTGTTTCGAATATTGTGATTACCTTATAAATTAAATCCAAATGTGTAAAAACAGCTATATGCAAAACTATATACTTTCTTGAGACTAGAATTGCATATAGATCTAATAAATGTTCACAATATGCGTCCCGTATAGATTTTAAGTTTCTCTTTTTAAATAGGACTACATATTTAAATGCATAACTCACTGATGAACACAATGAAACAAATTTAGCTTTAGAAATTAAACTTAAACGTGATATTAATAAATTAATTTAAAATATTTGTATGCTAGGAGCAAATTTTCTTCAATATAATAATTTTAAGTTAATAGCTTTTGCGTTCTGCAAATCAAACAAAATGTGTTCTTTATAATTTTTTTTATTAATAAATATTATTTTAGAAAATAATAATTATTGTGAGAGATTAAAACTTAGAATATTTACAAAATAGTAGAATCACACAACAACACAATTTTAGTACAGCCTAATCTATTTTAATGCTTTTCCTAAACATGTAAAAATTAACGTTACCCATCAACAATCTATAAATAAATTTCAAACACCATTTCATTATGAACCAGCTGATGCACAGCGAAAGTACAATGATAGCGATGACATCCAGAAGGAAGTACTGCACGAAGTTGAGGTCTTTGGCGGTGGATTGTAAATGAGGTGCCCCTCTGTGTCGGATCACGTATTCCGTCCAATAGATAGCCCGATCCAGCGGACTTTCCTTTTGGTCCTTCAGTAAATACTGCATGCGCTTCACTTCCTGTTTATACTTGCCATCGTGGATTACTTTTTTAATAGACCACAGTAGAGATTCCGCTGTTAACGTGGACAACTCCAATTTCAGAGCGTATCCGTCCACCTCCGCCTTGGCCGCATTTGAATCGTGATCACAGAAGACGGGCATTGTTACAATCGGCACTCCATGATAAACGGTCTCGAACATGCTCAGCAGACCGCCATGAGTTACGAACGCCTTGATCTTTGGATGTCCTAAAAATATACAATAAACAATAGATATGTCGAGCAATTAGGCATAGCTTGCATCAATTTCCATACCTAATATATCTTGTTGAGGTAACCAACGGCCTAGCATGACGTTATCAGATAAATCGTGCATATCATCATCGGCCTCCCATTTCCACAGTACTCTCTGAGGCAGTTGTCTAAATACATAAATCAACATCCGCCTAAGATACTCTGGCATATTCGCTGCTCGCACCGATGATCCCATGCTAACGTAAATGAAACCTGCATCGCCGCTTCCGTTGATGAACTTCTCCAAGTTCTAAAAAAACAAAAGGAAATTAAAGATTATATAACGTAACTTCGGAAGAATTGTTGCGTTCGTAAAACTGCGGAGATCTCATTCACACCTATTAATTATTAAGAGTATTTCATAATGAAGTAGATGCACGTGCTGTTTCGCTCGAAGCGGTGAAAGTCAGAAAAGAATCCCAAATAAAAACATATTATTTTTGCAATTTCAAATTAACTTCTGTAGCCATAAAAGAAGTTGCACAGAAGTTAATGAACCTCGATTATTTGTTGCAAAACCTCAACAGGCACATTCACCAGACAGGCTGCAAAACCTTCGAATTTTCATATACTTCATATAAACGAATACAAGCTTATTAATTATTGTTAATGTTTCACTTTTGCCTATTAATTATTACAAAATATTATTACTTAATTAACAATAACTTCAAGTAAATAGTAATTTTCGAATTGATACGTTTAATTTAATTAAAATTGACACTTTCCCCCGGCGATTCTCTAATTAATTCATTCCTACTGCTATTGAAAAATATTTATGTAACATGCGATCTCGTTAAAACATAATTTTGATCATGTAAACACGTACGATTTCATAGAAATGTGTTACATTTCTTTTTGTAAAATGCACATAAATTTCATTACCGATATTTTGTGTTTGCTATTCATGAACGTATTTAGTTTTTTATGGTTTCAACAACATTATTTTTCGCGAGTTTTACGAATTTCAGTTTATCAGAATACATATTCATAATTCATAATTTAAGCGTGAAGCTCGACAACGAACAAATTACCATCTGTTATTATCGAATGTATTTTCGCAGCCATTTGATTTGCGACATTTTAAAGGCACTCTTTGATGGATTTCTAAATATACGTATGTGTCACATTTACGATCGGCTCCGGTTCCGACGACGACGCATCGACGTTAGTTCTGGTTGCGTAAGGCCGTCGCCTAGATTCGCACTTATATAATCGCAATAGACAATAGCGAAATGATTGAAACTGCAAAACCGCAACGTCTTTTGTGTAGCATCGACTACGAAATATAAAAACAACAATAATAATGAAGATGGAGAGAGCGAGCAAGAGAAGAACCATTAAGAAATATTTTCTATTTTCATAAACACCTTAACGGCCGCGCTGCTAGGTGGTCGCGTTGCGTAACCAATTTTCCATTTCACCATCTGAACAGCGTGCGCAAAGAAAATGCCTTGCGGAATGCGGAACCGAATTCCGGAAATGCGATTCTTCTACTTCGCTTTGCACCTTTACATTTTAGAATCGCAACAAAAAGAGAATAGATAATAATTTCTTCATGGGAATACTTACGTAAGGTAATGCTTTGGCTGGTTTACAGTGGATGCAAGCGATCTCTGCTACGTTAGGTAGATACGGTCTAGGGTAAGTCATTGTGACATGTCCATTTTGTAAGATGAAGCTGACGTTTTTGGTCATGTCCTGAATAGTCGAGATGCTTTTCCCAAAATGCTTGTACAAGACATTCTGAACCATGTAGTTTATGGTGTATGTGTGAATAGACTCTATCCCCACATACCAGAGAGTGTTCCAAGTTCTTTGGAAGACGTTCATCTTGTCGGTCAAAGGTTGCGCCAAGAATGGCGTGACAGAATACAATACTGGATTCCCCGCCATCGATAAGGAAAACGTGTAAAACGCCACAGTATTGATATAGATGAAAGGCTTCTTGAAGTGATGGGCTAAACCAAGCGAACATTCCGGAAAAGCTCCATCCATTATAATGAGGTCCACGTCTGGTTTTGAGAATAGATAATCTTTCATTTCCGGATCTGAGTACATTTCGTCGCACGCCTAGACAAGAATAAATAAATTATTTAAAATGTTAAGTTGAAGCTGTTTAGTGTTACCTCAGAAGGATATCTTATTACATCTAACGGATGCACGGGCTCCTCGCCTCGCATCCTCGCACCAACCAAATCCCAATTAGTGAAGTTCCTAACGTAAAACACCAAGCCGGCCGGCGTGATTTCTTCTAATCCAGGCATGAAAAAGTCGGCAGGGAAAGGACTTATAAATGTAATATTATGACCCCGTGGAATCAGACCTCTCGCCAATTCCCAGTAGGGGATTTTATGGGACTTGGTGCCTCCCATTGTTATCATTAGAATGTTTGCGCACTGGCAAACATTTATCACAGTTAATATTGCTAAAGCTACTCTTAATTTAGTGGACATGACTATCTGCAACAAAACAACAAATTTAAGAACATATAACGAAATGTAAATAAAGGTGCCTCAAATATGTCTCATTTTAGGCTTTCACTTTGTGAAAACAATTATTGATTGTCCCATTTTCTGAAGTGCGTTACAATTTATAAATTAAATAAATGCTTGTGTGTACTTTGTTGATTATTCGTCGGAGAAAAGAAAGTTTGGAACGATATTGTTGTTATTACTGGATGCTGCGATAAACTGCGGATCTGTATTCAATGTTCGTATCCGTTGTATTATTATAACAAAATAACATCAAGCAAGGTTAATTTGATTTTTTGATAATGATAGCAAACAAATTACAAACAAACAATAAAATATATATGTCAGGAAACCACAAGCTTTTTTTTTAAACAACAAAAACTAACAACACCAACGTTCAGTCAACATATTCATTTAAATATTTGCTAAAATATACGTTTCCATAAATGTATTAACATTATACTCCGCATTATTTCAATTATTCCAATATTTTATTGATATTTGCTAGATTATAATTTGTTATTACAAAATTGATTTGTACTGCATCATTTTCAATTATAATCCGAGTAAGATTCACTGAATTGAATACACTCGGTCCTTTTTTTATGCGTACTCTTTTTATGCGGTTTTGAAATAAAGAAGCATTTTTTTAAATAACTATTTTAGGCCATTTTGACACGTTTTGACACAAATTGGCAAACCATTTCATTATATTGTCAAAGGGAAAAAATGCGAAGTTGAGACTAATTTTACTTGTGAAGAATCATTATCTTCAGGACATAGATCTGATATGCTGACTATCTCTTCTAGTGATGAAGGTGATTTCGAACCAGTTCGCAAATTATGCCGAACACTCTCATATAACTCATATAATTCTAAAGAAAAAAATGTGAAGAAAAATTAACTTTCATAAAAATTTTCGGTATTTTTTTTTTTGGAAAATTTTTCCGTATAAATTTAGAAGGAATTTGTTAAGATTATGTTTTTCAGAAATTTAATAAACTTGTCTATAATTGTTAACGTTTTTATAAAATTTTCAATAAACATTTCAGAAAGAATATAGTAAGACTAATTATTTTTCTGAAATTTAATAAACCCTTTTTTATGCGATTTTCGTTATATTGTAACTCATTGATTTAGTTTTATGCGGTTTTAAAAAATTATGGAACGTATCCTTTATTTTTATACTTTTTTGTGCGATTTATTTTTATGCGTTTTCCTGTGGAACGTATCTACCGCATAAAAAGAGAACCAAGTGTATATTGAAGTTGTTTAAATATGTTTAAGTTTACTATAAGCAATCACCGTACTTAATATCCAATAGAAACCGTTTTTTGCCTATCAATAAGAAAGAGGCATCATTCGACTAAACAACTTATATAAATGTTAACTTGTGTTGCATCACATGTGTCAAATCGCAGTTTTTATTATCATTAATTAATTTGAAAGAATTCGTAAGGATGTTATATTATGTTAATTCCTATCCATGATGTGATATTTTTAAATATTGCCAATATCATTATCACGGCCTATGCATTCTAATAAATTGCAGTCCTTTCACTTGTTCAATAACAACACATAAAATGGAGAAAAAAAAACTGTAATAAAAGAATTAGCAAATCTCTCATTTTCCACTCTACAAGCATGTCTCGGTTACATAAAGAAAAGTCTAGTTGACTTTGAAACAATAAAAATTGTCTACATGTAAACATTCACTTCTCGCGCCTAGAAAACGAAACAACTCATTGTACTTCCCCACTCATTATATTTCTTTAAACCGAAGTCGAGAAACCGGAAAATGATTTGTCTGTAAGAATATTTCTTGTGTAACAACGAAAAACCTTGATTAGGAAATTTGTCTTGCAGTTTGCTTTCCCGGACACGTCCGAAAGGTGAACCAAATAATGCAACAATTTGCCAAGTGCGTTATGCAATTTCGGATTACCAGAAGGCATGGCTCGGGCTGTGCGAAAATTTTAAATGTACGAAAACCAGTGCAAGCGCTTTAAAAAAAATCCAGTCACGTTGCGCAAATTGATGTAACACTTTTACTTTTCCTACGCACGGCCATATAATTAATTGTATCTTCTGAATCGTAAATAAGACTCAGATAAGACGATAAAAGACGAACGACCTGTTAATTCGATAATGATCAAACTCTCGCACAATTAACGCGATTCAACATTGAACAAAAGCGAATTTCACTTAGTTAAAAAAAAATATATATATGAATAAGTTACAATCCTAGCAGCGTATTGTAGAAAGCGCTTAAGTTATTTCCATCTCGGAATAAGCCTCTCGTTTGTGAGCTACCTTTCATCGATAAAATCTAGCAAGCGCTGTGTTCTTGTTTTTAATTAATAATTTAAAAAAAAACAAAACTTTTTACGCACTTTATGGAAAGTTCATGAAAGTGTAACCACCAAATTTCATAATTTACTAATACCACTCTTCTGACCTATGTCTCTGTGTGTTTTTTTTATATTATTTTCTTTTCCATCGCCTTCCATCTCGCAAAAGAGAAATCGAAATCTCTAGTTCAACGATTAACGAGCAAAGAATTGATCAAAAAAAGTTTCACTTTTGAATGATTATTATTATTAAAACTTGTACAATAAAAATACATAATTGAGTAACAAAAAATTATAGATGAATCGAAGATGATCAAATCCTGCCAATTTGATTATAACATATTCACTTCCTCTTATAGAAAGAAAGTATTCATATAACAACTAATATGAAATGTTAATATCATACTATAATATTTGCATTTTGCTTTAAAATGCCAATAAACTATTTGAAAATAAAATATATAAAATAGTTTGTCGTATTTACATATACACTTGCCTGATCTTCAATTTCTGTCTGTATACATAAACAATCATTAAATGAAAATATTTTTTTTTGTGTTACGTGATTAACTTGGGAAGATTTATTTCAATGGTAGTGAAATTAATGTGTGATTGTTCGATAGCATGAAATGCATTAAAAACGAATTTCCTGTTCGACAAATAGCAAATTTCCGGACGATACAAACATACAATCAAAATATACTTTCTTCTAATGTAATACATGTTTTATAATATAGTTTTTGCTTTGATGTACATAATAAATGTATGCTCATATCAGATCTGTTACTTTAATAACTAGGGCACAAAAACTGGTCAACCTGTTTGGGTTTAAACCTAGTTTACTTTATGCTCGCGTAGTCTAATTTATAATAGTGTAGAAACAATGCAATTTATAAGTAATTTGATGTAAATTAACTTGAACCAAACCTTTTACCTAGACACAAATCGATTACATGAGAAAAATGCTAATATGAACACAATAAGTGTTTATAGTTAATTATTTTAAAAGTATTCGTGAGGTCGTGCATTATCTTTAACAGATATACCAATTGCATGGTTTTTACGCAAAAATATACTAATTATTAGCAAATAGTTGTTTAAGAAAATAAGGTTTTTTACAGAGAGAGAAATCTTAACGAATAGTAGACATAGCGAGATTGTGTAGAAAACAAGTTAAGGTCAATCACTTTGCTACAACTAAAGTGCATTTCATATCTTGCTTCCTCGATATTAAGCAGAATGTTTCGCGTCCGTTAAACTTAAACCATTTAACTAGAACATAATTATAGGAATAAATATGAAACATTCGAACATTCGCCGCGACCAAAAACAGGTTGAATTAAATACTAATGCAAATATTTGTGTGCGGGAGAAATTTTTAGAAATTTTTAACAGTCCTCGCGCACCAAATAACAAACTGGTCTAATTCGTAATATCAATATATATTCCAACAAGGAACTCAATTAATAAGGGCAATTAAACAAGAGTCTGCATGCAGGTGTAATTCACACGGCGACGATAATTCGCAATTATGTAACACTTAAAATATCACCAACAAGAACCACAACCTGTGTAATAAAGTGAAGACTTACTGGAATAAATATAATCCAAATAGGGTAAACAAACTTATCTTTCTTCTTTGACTTCTCTTTGAAGGGGGTTTTGTAAATCACATGAAAAAGATGCGACGGGACCAATGAAAGTCTGTTATCATCCGTCTATTTCGCATCTTTCACATACCCGCCAAGCACGCTATTTGAACAGCACTAAGTAAGTAAAAGTTAATTATTTCTCTCCGTGGTACCGTTCGAACGTAAATTGACCTGAGCTGGTCAACCAAGCTCTGGAACGAAAGTAGGAGAAATGGAAATGAAGAGTGGTGCAATCGTGTCGTTGGTGGTTCCACCTCGATCAACAACAACAAAAAAAAGATCTTCTGTTTATCAGAAATCTTATTTCTAAAATCTTAGATACGTAAGCTATGATCAAGCAACACATTATAATAGAAACCACATTGATTTAATAAAATAATAGCAACTTTAGCTAAGTGAATTATATAAACATACTTCCATAATTCCTACAAAAATAGCATCATAAGAAATTGATGTATATCTTTAGAATTTGGATCAAATAAGTCATCAGATTCAACTAATTAAATAATAGATGATTGTTAATTTACTTTTGTGAAACTTGTAAATAATTCAATAAACAAACAAAGCAAATAATTCAAAGATATATAATTATTAGTAGATAAATAAGTTTTGGTTTAGATTCTTTAAAATTCATGCAAATTGTATTTCAAAGACAACACATATTTTACTTTCAATATCTCGTTTCTCAATTTATTGATCACCACATTGATTTAATAAAATAATAGCAACTTTAGCTAAGTGGAATATATAAACATACTTCCATAATTCCTACAAAAATAGCATCATAATAAATTGATGTATATCTTTAGAATTTGGATAAAATAAGTTATCAGATACAACTAATTTAATAATAGATGATTATTAATTTACTTTTGTGAAACTTGTAAATAATTCAATAAAAAAACAAAGCAAATAATTCAAAGATATATAATTATTAGTAAATACATGAGAATTGGTTTAGATTCTCTAAAATTCATGTAATTTGTATTTCAACTCATATTCTATTTTACTTTCAATATCTCGTTTCTCAATTTGTTTCACAATGTATTGTAGAAATAATAAATATTCGTGTTTTGCACGTATTTGAAGAAATCAAGCATAGCAATTTTCCCGCAAAATCGTTGGGTTTGCAACAAATCATACGTTTTAGGAATATATTTTAATACGTGATATATTCAGATTAGATCATAAATATTTAACTTAATATTATGTAATTATTTTTCTATAAATTTTCGTCAGATGTAATCGATTAATTGCGACTATCCCAGTGTATAAAAAAAAAGAGAAACTTAATGCTCTAGGATCGGCAATAAAAATATGAAATGGCAAATTTAGTAAATGCTAATTATTGTTTGTTAGAACTATCAAGAAGTTTATTTACCAAATTGTTGAATTATTGAATAAAGCCGTTGCATTTTTTTCGCCTGCAGACGACGGCGATTTGATCTTGTTGAACATTATCCAAAATCCCAGAGAAATGACTAGAAGTGCCGCGAACAGGATGAACCAACCACCTTTTGATTTATCTGCCATGTCTGTGGTCCGACTCAAAGAACCTACGGACTTGCACTGAAAATGTTACCGGTCACAGAAGATAAATTTAGTAGACTCAATCATCGAAAATAGGTTCATTCTATAGTGCTTTTTCCCGTTGGCGTTCTTTTTTAAATTAAATTGAATGAGCACATGTGCCTGCCGTACTTAAAAAACATAAATGCTACATATGCCTCCACATCCCATTGATCGACTATAGACTATAAGAAAAATAAACTCCGCTAATGCTATGCCCCATTATTGGTAGACAGCCGAGAGAGAAATGTATGCGGAAAACAATAAAGGAAAAGGCTTAACATAATAAACAGTCCACTAGTCTGCCAAATCGAAACAACATAAAAACATCAAGAACGAATTTATATTGGAATCACTTAGTTTAAAATATGGACAATTTAATGCTTATTTCATGTATATATTATAAACTTACACTGAATAACAAAAATATTTAATTTGCAGTCGTTGTATTTTAATTTATTTAAAGTGCTTTCATGTATTAATTAAAATACTAATTAATACAAATATTACACTAAAATGCTTTCATAGAATATTGTATCAATATTTTTTTTATTCTGTAAATTACAACATTACTGAAAACATCTATGTTTGGCATTCAAATAAAGTAATCAAAGGCTACCTGTTGATGCAAAATTGAAACAAAACAAAAACACCAAGGACAAATTTATATTGGGATCACTTAATTTAAAATATGGATAAGATCATGAATATATTATAAACTTCCACAGAATAACAAAATATATAATTTCATTGTATTATTACTTATTAAAAATGCTTTTATATATATCTTTCTTCTATCAAAACACTAATTAATAAAACTATTACATTCAAATGCTTTCATAGAACTATAGTTTTTTAATATCTTTATCTATTATAAACTTCCATTGAATAACAAAAATAAATAATATCATTATATTTTCACTAATGTAAAGTGCTTTCATGTATCTTTTATCCGTCAAAACACTAATTTATACAAATTACAGTAAAATGCTTGCAAATACATCAATGTTTGACACTCAAATTCGCAAAATATATGTAACAATTATTACCAGTTTCGTGTTTTGGATGTATAAGAAACGAACATTTTTTTGTGTTCCTTGAGAACCGTGGGTTTTTATTTCACCACATTAAAGTTTAAAATAGAAGGACGGATAAACGGTAATGAAATACTTTGGTTTTATGTACAGTACTTTAAACGAGTTTATACTCTCATTAAAATCTTATTTAAAATCAAAAGTTTTTTCTTTTATGAATTAATGTTTTTACATATTAATCGTGTAACCCATTAAACTTGTGTTTACACACAGATTTAAGTATTAGCTTGTTTAATTGGTATGGAAGATAGATATGCAATAAAATACAGTGCCAATAATTAAAACAATTATTTATTCCACATTTTTTATAAAGATTATAAAAAATACTATATAAATAAAAAATATTAACTTTGAAGCGAAGAGGAAAAATAAATGCCAAAAAAATAACACTAATCGAGGCTAAGCCGTTAATGAAGAGTAAATTAATCAGATCTTCAATTGATAAATATTGCACATACAATTATTACACTCATCCAAACTAATATATTTTACAAATTCATTTTTCTGAGAAATTATTTTATTAATTATCAATTACCCCTCAAAACATTAATTAAAGATTAATCAATAACTTTACACTGTTTATTTGTCTTAATGTCAAAGGTTTATAGAATTATCTGTGTCTAGATATATTCAGTCATTTATATACATATTTCATCTCATCCTTAGTTATATTACAAGGTAAAAACCTATTACGTACACCATTACAATAAAACAAATAAAATTTAAAATCGAATTGTACTAAAAGAGAGAAAAAAAAAATACTAGGATTACTGGCTGCAAGTGACCCTAGTCGCGTATTAAAACATTAACAAAATCACATAATTTAGGAACAACTAGGATGTAATAATAATAATAATAAATAAAACAGGAAGATATAATAGTTATTCTTCTATTAGTTTGTCGGAGGGTTCCTGATATGTAGGGAACTTAACAGACTCAACTTTATCTTTCACTTTGAAGCTGGGATACAGTCCGACTTGTTGCGTTCTCAAATTCCTTCCTTTGCTGAAGCCGTTCCAGTGATTGCCAGCAACACCAATCAGGTCACCTACTTGCAAGTTCAATTCCCCATTCTTCTGACTCTCGTGTGGTAAAACGGCGACACGATTATGAGCATTTTGGCCGCCGTAATAGTAAATGTCGTCTAAAGATTTAAATTTGTTTGCAGCATCTGGGAAGAAGTTCTGCATTATCTCATAAGCCACTCTGCAAACCTAAAATTATATTCGATTAGTGTGTATATTCTTAGCATGCAGATCAAATCAATATTACTTGAGAAGAAAACGTGCAAACTAAATAGTCGCTCATAGATAACATATGAATATCCAATATAATTCCATTAAGCGAAGAGTCCGAATAGCGTGATGAAACCGCCGCTGTCTTCGCTACATCTGCATCTCCGAGTATTTCATAGTTTGGGTATTTATTTTTAGCATCCACAATAACTTTAGGATCGTCAGAGGCTAAATATATTCTTCGCTTATCGAACTTCTGCTTCAACTCCAATTGATTATAATATTCATCAACGGCAGTCATATATTCTTCAATTCCATGGTAAGACGCTTCCGTTCCTACTTTATCGGTACGTCGCACATGTACACTGAAAAGTAAATAATAGAATAACAAATTTCAAAAAAATACATCTTCATCAATTTACCCAACTATTGGTCTTTTAAATCCCATATTCGTAATTGCTTCTTGTAGAAATGCCGCAGTTTTTTCTTGCGGTCGTAGCAGGTACTTCAAAAATTGCCCGACCCACCAGACTATTGGATCACCGTGAATTCGGGAGAGCCTGGGCGCTAAATCTTCTGGGATTGCTAATGGTAAGAAAGGTGGTCGCGGTGATATAGAATCGATTATTGGCAAAGTTAAAACTTGTATATCGGGTGTACCTGAAACAATAATTTCACGATGAAAACCGGTTCCATTCCAAGAAGCTTCTAGAATTTCATGCTTCGATTCGCTTCATGAATCGCGCTTTCTTGAAAATTATTCTCACCAGGCCAATTCTTTGTTGTTTCCCCTGTAGCAGAAGTACACGTTTCACTGATTGGTTGAAACACTTCTTCCCATCCAGCTTTATGATATCTCCAACCTTTCGATTTTAATACTAAAGTTCTCTCTGTACCATAAGCCACCATAAAACAGTAAACAACATGGTGCAACTGGCATCCATAACCACATCCCTAAACAAAAAACATATTATATTGATATTAGATAAAGGCATATTAATTTCGATATTACTTTGTTCAAACTGCAAACTAATTTTTTGGCACTCTTACAGTCTGATGGATTTTGTAGCTTCTTAAATCTAGATTGTACTAAGTTACTTAAATCATTAGATTCCTTCTCCCTCCATGTTGCATAACCATCTACTTCGGCTAGAGTTTGGATGTCATTAATTAAAGATCTAAGAAATATATAGAAGAACATTATTTTTAATTCATTCATTAATTAATTGCATAAAACATACCTTTTATGTTGAGCCCCAAGATTAAAAACTTGATTTATTGGATTAATCAATTCAGGTGCTAAATATTTCACTTGTTGCTGCAAATTCAACAGTTCTGAATGTATGTATGACCAAAACTCTTGTATATTCATTTCAATTCTTCTCCGATAAATCTCATACTGTATATTAGGCTCCTCTTTTTGACTAATGTAACCATAGTCTTGATTATTATTTATTGTTCGATCAGCTTTTGTTAAGCGCATTTGGAAGTTCTCCAATACCTCTTTTTCATCAGCTTTTAAATCTCTGCAAAAAAAAAATACAAATTTAAATTGTAAAAGAAAACGTGAAATAATGAAATACTAACCCAACGTTGATGTCTTTGAATATGTCATATAATTCCTTATTTTGTTTTCTCAAAGATTCCAATTCAGCTAGAGCACGAGCAAGTCGGTCAGCAGTTTTTGTATCTGAGTTTGCAACATGGGTGGAGATCATTGGCAGTATTGTTATTAAAAATATTGAAAGCCATACTAGTATAAATATTTGGAAAATTCTTTTCCAACCCAGATTGCTAATGTGCCTAAATAATAAGTTCATTTTGTAAAATCTTGTGTCAGGTTAAATCACAAAATCGCATTATTGATTGCACCGCATTCACACCACTTTCATACAATTGCGTAGATGCATTTAATATAGTTTTGCTAATTTTGTTATCAATGTTTGCTTAATAACAATGTACAAATACAAGTGAACACAGCTTAACAACTGGTAGCACTTTATTGTGAGGCAGATTTGACACGACTGATGTGGATTGATGCTGCCGAAGATAGTCAACCCTAGTTGGCGCTACATGTTTTGGGTATACCTAAGTACGCTCAATTTTTATACCTACTTTATATTATTAGTTATTACTATTTACAACTAATATATTTCACTTGCAACATTAAATATTGAAATATAATTGTGTTTATTATATTTGTCTTTAATACTAACTGCGTTCATGATACAAATGAATAATACTTATTTATTTATTGATACATAAAAATATACAACAACATCCTTGTATATCTGACTAACTTAATATTAATTCTTTGTCACATCTATAAAGGAAACATTTAGGTATTAAATTAATAACATTATTCTACTTAAATAACATTTTATAGAAGTTTACAATAAATACAACAAACTTAAATAAATCCAGTATCCAAAAAAAACTGTATATAAGTGCATTCCACCTTGAACCTAGAATCTAAAACCTTATCTTTAGATTTGATTTGCAGCTTCTGTATCATTCTGTAAAACTAATTGTCTAAAAGCAAATATAGTTCATTGGTTTTATTAAGGAACAAAACTTTACTTTTTAATTTACAAATAATAATTATATGAGATTTCTTGGAAAGGCAAAATTTTATTATTTATAACGATAAGTTTGGTATGTAGGGTTGCATAAAACATTTGATTTTCAAATCTTATCTGCACTAACAAATGTTATCTATTTTATCACTCATTTGTTGAACTTTTAGATTCTCAAATCGAACGAAATTAGTACAAAGTAAGTCCATTTTTATATACGTACATTATTAAAAACATTTTTTTCTTAATTAATTACTTTTTTAGATCGTATTGCAATAGTTAAGCAAAAATGCATCTTTTGAATTATTATTGCTTGATAGTAGTTTTTGTAAGCCGCACGAGCGCTTTGAATTCATGTTCTGGGCGTCCTCCGTTGTTATATTCCAGTTTGGAGAATTGTTGTGGTTTCTTAATGAACAAAACGGATGAACAAAATTTATATTTAGACGATTGTTGGGGCACTCTGCCTTTCCTCTACGACAAGGACGACTTAGATAGTTTAACTGTGAGCAATAGTTTTATTAATTGGAATCCAGAGAGCAAAATATTTACGCAGGACGTTTCAATTAAGGAGTTGAAAGTTATTAATAGTAATATAAAGAGCATAGGAGAAGAAAATTTTATAAATTTACACAAAGTCGAAATAATTGACTTAAGTTACAACGATATTGCTGATATTCGATTGAACACGTTCACACATGAAAACTTGCCGAATTTGAAGGTAATTAATTTGACTGGAAATCCATTGAGCGAGGAATCGTTATTAATACTTAAAGAGATCAGCAAACGATTCGAGGATAGAGAGGAGAGCGTTGGAATCTACGTGTATTTTATCATAGCCTTTGAAATACTTGCAATTATTGGATTATCTTATGGAATTTGGAAGATTTCGAAGTTGTCGAAACGTAAAAGTATACCTGTTGCTACAAGAGAGGACCATGATAATTCTGCTTTACAATTAGAATTGGAGGATCAGCAATTACATAGATTTGAGTTTGAACCAAAAAGCACCTATTCTTCATTTAACTCTCCAGTATTATCATTAAATGGATACGAGTATTATGATGGGGATAACGAAGATAAATTATAATAAGTTAAAAAGTTCGCACGAAGTTTTATTTTAGTAATAGCCTTAACAATATATTTTATTATTTACATATCCAATTGGAATTACAATGTGTAATCACCATTAACCCTTAAACACTATTTACAATATTATATTATAAAAATACAAAGATTAACAATTGTTATCAGTCTATTCGGTTAAGTTAAGCTTAAGAGACGGTCTGTTCGCACGTTATGCCGTCTCCTATGTTGTACTAAGTAAGCAAAGTAGAAACCAAAAGCACCACCAACTGCTACAGCCAGTAAAACAATCAGTATGACCACTATGCTGAAGAGTGCAGTTGCTCTCGCATAATATTCTTCATCTTCATCAATTTGAATTCGTTCAATGTGAGATCGAATAGCTTCTCTGGTCTCACCTTTGATCAAACTTAATTTTTTGATGTTGGCTATACCAAATGTGGCCTCGTCAATGTTACAGGACTCCTTGTAAGGATACGGATCCGATCGGTTGAACATTTGTATGTAGTTCTTTGAGTTCATGCATTTTATAGGATTCTCGACTTCAATCCTATCCCTGTTCTGCGCAGCCCAATTGTAGACTTCGATTGTACTGCAATTGCATGCCCAAGTGTTGTAAGATAGAATCACAGATATTTCTGGGTTAAAAATAGCTGGATTAATGTACACGATGTTGTTGGCTTGTAAATTTAAATCCCGTAATTTTGGCAAATGCTTAACGTTTTCATAGCCAAAGTGCGTGATTTTCGCGAATGACAAATCCAATTTTAATAAAGTATTCGAAACGATAGCAGGTACGTTGTTTCCGAAAAAATTACCAGCCAAATTCAATGTTGCAAGACGGCCATTAGTTTCAAACATTCGAGATGGCAAATATTCCAAATAGTTATTAGACAAATCCAGATACTCCAAGTTGCGCAACACAACGAATGCCTTCTCGTGCATGAAGACGATGCTGTTCAAATTCAAGTAGAGGAACTGCAGTTGCTCTATCCCTTTCCAATTCAAATCCTGCAGATCGATCTCTTCGATCTGATTGCCGGATAGATCCACTATATTTGCACCGTTTATGTCCCTGAATTCTGGTATACTCAGCAGATCCTTTTCCGTACATGTTATATTCACTCCTGTGCACACACATCCCGGCAAACAGCTAAAACTCTCTGTTCCGCTCACCACTAAAGCAATAACCACAAGAATAGTACCACGTGTTTCAATTGTAGATAACATCGTTAAAGTCCATTTATTTCTAAAATCAAAACAGAAAAGAATACAAAAAAAAACTATATTAAACGTAATATAAATACATTTAAAACATACAATATACGTCTCGGCTTATCATTATCTCACTAATCTATCTATCAATTAATAATTAGCAACAAACACGTTATTTCAATCGAAAATCAGTGTTGCGTTAGTTTACAATAAATTTACTTTCAACGTGTTTCTCGATAATAATTTATTTGGACTTACGTTCTGTGCGGATGGATGGAAAGAAGAAATTACATTCTTTTTTTTTAGAATGTCTTCAATGATCGCAATATATCAATGTCTTTTCGCAAGTCTGCGTTGATTTTGCAAAAACACATTTCACGACGAACTTTTCCGAACGCGCTGGTTCTTATGTAAAACCGTTTTTAATAAGAAAGAGACACAGTTAGAACTCACCTTAAGTTGTGTTATTGGGTATATATAATACGATGAAAATGGCGGCGATATGTTATCTTATTGATTAGACTATTAAAAGTGATATACAGTACACTTCGATACATCTTCAAACAGAGATTATATTTTTTTCTACCTGTGTGTATAGAATATTGCAGAGATGAAAATATTACTGGACACGAATATTTATTTTCATTTTTTTATATTTGTTATTTTTAACACTTATTTCATACATTAATTAAAAAGCACCAAATATACACTAAAACTATGAATTAATACCGTATTCAAATTGCTGTGACTCTTGTACAAATGAATGAATTATCTTATGCGCGGTATGTTTAATACCGCTAAAGTATGTTTAAATAATGAGAAATATTAAATATTGTTTAATTTTGTGCAAATAATTTCTAATTGCTTGTGTATATGACTAAACGCACGTAATACACAGACGATAATTTCATAACTCCGATCAAGGATCAAATTTATATTTTAAATCATCTACAAATAAATCATCAAAAAATATTCTTATTTTTTTTTATCTAATTTCCTATGATATATTAACATAATTTTTAATTATGACTACTATTTATACCGATTCCCTGCAATAACATTATCTCTATATTAGATTAATTGCTTCTCTACCTATATTTTTCCATCACAAAATCTTCTTTATATCCTTCTCTTTAGGAGCCATACTTGGATCTACATCACAGCCACAAAACTAATGTTTCCCTAAATATTCTTTGTCCAGTTGAACTAATACGATACCTTTAGAAATTTAGGGTATATTTTTTTTTATTCTCTCCCGTCTGTTAATAATCCCATTTTACTTGCTACTCTCTATTTTTTTTATATCGTATAATTTTATTTATAGGCCAATAGCCAGTAATTTATTTTCCACTGATAATTCTGACGTTTTCCCTAGAAGCCAATAGAGTTTTCAAAAGTTTATTTCTAATTGCTCCCTCTTAGCCTGAATGTGATCTTTCCAGGTGAGTCTTCTTTCTATATGCATGCCTAAATATTTGACTTTTGTTGCTTTGGACAGATCTTGTCCATTAAGTCTTACAGTTGGGCAGGTGTCTTTCTTTAGCGTGAATGTGATATGCACGGATTTCATTTCGTTTACTGCTATTCTCCATTTTTTAAGCCATTCTTGTAGCTTATTTAAATTTTCCTGTAGATATTCGGATCAGCGAATGTTGCAATCGTAGTATAGTTAGTTTTATTATCTAATAATATAGAGATCATTTTAATTCCTTCACATCTGGTTTATCAAATTTTCTGATCCGATGGAGCAAAAGTAAAATCTACTTATTTAATTTCACAAGATTGTAAATCATAAATTTTAAATCCTCTAACATTAACCTGCTGTCAAACAGTTTCAATCAACCATTGATAACTAATAGTTTTATTATATTTATTTTACTTACTTTATTTGTTTTAGATTTAAGATAAAATATTGTAAAATTACACTAATTCATTATTTAATTTTGTAGGTAAAAAATGATGAAATCATCTGTACATGTTTTTTTCTACAGTCATAAGATGAATCTAAATTATTAAGTAAACATATCTATTCCATTATGTGCATTGTAGTGCATATTAACATGTTTCACTAGAAAGTACTGATTTTATAAATATTTTATTACTTTCATAAAATTCCGTATGTGTTAAGTCAATATTAACTTAAACTAATAACAAAAAAACTGAAAACCCGTCAATACTTTCTAACTTGGTGACTGATGCATTGAGTATAAATTATTTTAAATAAATTTAAACTAACTATTTTAACAACTTCAGAATGGAACGTCTTTTGAAGCATAATTTTGTTGTTATCAGGTCAATATATGCAAAACATTTTATAAATAAAGCCTTATCTAATAAAATTCTTTGTTAATGTATCGATTAATTCAATTAAAATTATTTATATATGTAAATAAAAGATAAGTAATTATTATTGGAAAAAAAATGGTAGGGACATTTCATTGGTAGAATGAAGCCAATAAATAAAAAAAAACGTATGCATATATACTTTATAAACCTCTTCTCAAATCATCCAGTTTTGTCAAATCGTTTCGTCATTTTTCTGGTCTGATTTAAATCTTCGTAAATAGAATTAAATTAACAAGTGCTTCTGTTGAAACTTAGTGAATAGTGAATATTACGTAAATATTAATAGTTTGCGGTAAATATATTTATGTAACTGTAGATATGTTTAAATATTTCCCAATTTTGCAAGAAAGGCGCGTTTGAATTTAGCAATAAACCTGAAGCAATAAATGCCTCCACACGCAATGATTCATTACTTCTTAAATTATAATTACAACAAATGGAAAGTAAATTATTCAAATATAACACAACAACTCAATTAATTATATTTCCAGTTATAATATTAAACTTGTTCATTTTTATTAATTAAATTTGATTTAATGTTATATTATTTCATTACATTGAAATATTTTTGATTAAATTCATGTTAATTTATACGTATGTAAGACAATAAGATATTTACATTCTTTAGTTGTTAGCTTAATCATTTTTTGTCCTGGATTACAATTCGTATAACTTTTATAATTCTCGAGAGAGGGCTTCTTTGAAAAAGAAATATATCGAGTGCTGGAGGGACTTGTCGAACGTGTTTTCGGGGAAAGACCTCGTCTTCGGATGCCTTTTTTCTTGCTACACCATCGTCCATCCGTACTCAGGATAAGAGTACTTGCGTACCATTGCCCCTCGTGCGCAAATTAATAGAAATGGGACAAGTTTATAGTAAATAAGGTGCTAAAGAAGTGTATTTTTATTATATTGATAAGTATATAAATTGTTATGTAATATATATTTTTTGAGTAATTTTGATTGGGAAAACCTTTTCTCTTTGAATCCAGCACAGCCTGCGGCATGTTACATCAATTGGCGTGCTTAATTCTAAATTGCGGGTGGTTGGTAAAGGGGACGTTGCGAAAGAAACGATTATATAATTGTGTCTCGTTTCGTATTGCTTAATATTGGGAAAAGTACCTGTAAAAAAAAATTGTTTGCAATAACTTTACTGCTTGCTTCAAGCCTCGATATTAATACAATTGAAATTACAACAACTATGATTTAGCTAGATAATTAATACAATATGGTAGTCAAGTTCAATTAAGTCGGCAGCGGTGGAATTGCATATTATTAATCTATTGAAAGTATAATAATAGAAACAAAAAAAAGTTAATTGCACGTGGGTGAATTTTGTAATGAAAGTGAGTTGATGTTGCGTCAAGTCTTTTGCTGCATGCTGACCGATTGGCGGTCGTAGTAGAAGTAGTAAAAAAGAAAGTAATGAATAATTAAGTCAAGAGTTGAAACCCCACTTTGTCCGATTGGGAGTAAGCCGGGTGGGAAATTACGTGCAGAATTTGTGATTTCAAGACATTTCTGCTTTTAAGACTCCATCGGGCAGGTCAAATCGAAAAATGTTGTACTTGTTTACATAGAAGCTACATAAACGCATACATCTAATATTATATAAAGCGAGATAAACTAATTGTGCGGTTGATCGAAACCATGGATTTACTTATTCCGAGTGATAGTGAAGTGATTAGCAGAGAGGTGAAAAACATTGGATTCGCTATGGATAATCAGACGGTCTGCCCTAAGGAAGTCCCTTCATTCACGGAGTACCTTTCCGGTAAAAAACAAAAAAAATAACATGTTTTATCATGCTTTCACTATCAGTACATTTTCTCTTTTACAAACCAAATAAGAGGTAAAGAGCATTGTCGGCCAGCACATGCGGTTTTGAAATCGAGAGACGACAGATTTGCAAAACCTTTTTCTCTCCGGTCGTTTGCGTAACAGCTTAAACAAAACTTTTCGCACCTCCGATAAGCAAACAGTTATGTAATTACGATCGATTCGCTTAATCGCATCTAAAACAAAACGTAATATATTTATGATATGAAACGCAAAGCTTTCTAACGTTTATTTTTGTTTTCGTTTAGAAATATTTTGATTTTACACAGCAGCAGCAATAGACTCTCAGTTGGGTCAAGGCTGTCTGATTCGAATGAATTCGTTATTACTGCAACAAGCTCTTCTATTATGCAATGGATGGTATCGATGCAATAAAAACACCAATTTAATGTGCATGTGAAAAATCTACATCTTTATTTATTGTATTTTATACAGTAAAAACGTCAATAAAATGAATAATATTTCAATATTATTATTATCTGAAGTGTTGAAAACACGTATTGAATTGATGTTAATACATTTTTGTTCATGTTTATCCACTTTTAATAAATTAAATGAAAACAATATTTTCATTGATAAATTCAAAACTTTTTGCACTAAACTAATTTACTTTTCTGTATTAACGTTTATTATATTATGTTTTATCATATATTAGAAAGAAACATTAAAATTACAATTTTCTACAAAAAATAAAACTTGAATAACTATAAAAACAAGTACTGCAGTTTCATAAACTATGTAATAATATATTTCATAATGAGGGTTATTTAATAATAAAGTCGTTCTACCTTTTGAGAAATACCAATGAAAACTAAAGTGAATCATATGCAAATTTTTACTTTCTCTGAAAAATGTTAATGGTATTTACGTTGTACAATAACCGTGAACCGGCTCCCAACCTCAATTCGGCGTTTATTTATGTTTATTTTCTTTCGCGAAAGTTAATTTTGCATTAAGCAATCATTTTTATATAATTTCTAGTTTCTATTTGATTTTTTGTGTTGTGTAATCAGAATAGCGATTCTGTGAAATAGAGAAGCCGTTTAACACAAATGCGAATTTGCTTCCAATAGATAAACTGATTCCATAATTGCATTAGAATTATTATTCATTTAATAGTTATTTTGTTATTGAAAGTGACTTGCATATGCGTTCCATTTCTTGAATGTTAATATCTACGTATAACCAAGACAATTTAAATAGACCAACGGTATAATTAATTAAAAGTTGCGTTATTTCGCAGAACACAATGATCAATTTTCTATATTTTGTTGAATACATTGATTTACCTTTTCTCTAAATAATTCAAGAAAGAAAACATTGATTATTCATTAATAAAAGCATATAGAGAAGGTCAGACTTTTTATCATCGTTATGTCATGAAGAAGTAGTATACGATTTACTTTAGATATTCTATAATATTTATATAATATTTAGTGTGTAGATTGCAAAATGTTATTCAATATATGAATAAACAATTGAAAACGACTAACGTCTTTCAGTCCAGCGAAATGACACCTGTTAAAATTGATGAAATACTCAATTGGATCATAGTACAAAGTACAAACAAATATAATTAAAAAGCTTAAGAATCGCTGTTCTAGTCTATCTAGTTTTCTATTGGATTGAAAGTAGTAGATTATTTTTATTTCTTAAATAAATCCAACGTATTAAAGTATAAAATAATTTTCTAAAAACTAGTACAATACAGTGGAACTTCGCTTAACGAGCAAAATTAATTGTAAGAAAAATGACTCGCTTAATGAGTGACGGTGAGAAGAGAAGTTCCGGATTGCGCGCCTTCTACATCATTTTTAAAACTTGTATACACATATTATGTGTATTTTTGAATATGTTTCACTAAACGAGTAAAAATCCGGAAATTTTGGAACGGATTAAACTCGTTAAATGAGGTTTCACTGTACTATACATTTCTGTAGAAAGTTACATACTTTCATGTGTTGAGATTTTATCTAGTTTATGTTTATGGTTCACGGTAACACGAAAATAGGTAGTGCGGATCAAAACACGTTATTTGGATGCAACGTTTCCTGTTGTTTCATTTAACATCGCTATGGCTAAAAAATCCCTTTTTTTAGTGAGAGAAATGTGTGTCTGTAGCAAACAAAAGTACCTTTGCTTCACTTCCTGAATTTGAATGTGCACTTAACTCTGGCATTTGTTTCCTTTCAACAGACAAAGTCAATAGTCTCTAATTGCCCCCATTAGCATGACCATTATCTTATAATAATAACACGTTTTCTTCTCCATTCGCATTGAACGTTCGTGCATCTACTTCATGCAAATATTACAATTTATCAGCGTGAATAAATATGTACGTATATCCTTCGTCTAGCGACTCGTAAAGGGGAGCGATAGGAAGTGAAATATCCTTGAAATGTATTTAGAGTATTGCAACAGCTTTTATCTTGTCTATGTCCTGGAATATAAACATATCAAGGAAAAAAATATGTGTATTGAGGGTATTGATTTAATTCAAGATAGATAAATACATCACTTGCATAATAGTACAAATAAAAAAAAAAGAAGCTTTCATATATTAATACGCCTCGTATTATTTTCAGTTTATTTTCCCATTGGAACCGTAATTGCATCTGCATTAGCTATTTGTAGTATTCAAGTGATCATATGACATTTCCACTTGATAATAAGAAATTAGAACGTTTATAATTCTAATTATTTAATTTTTATGTCTTCATAAAACGCATTTTTAACGACGTAATTTAATAATAAACTGTGCGGCTTTCATTTGCACGTCCATATACATTAGTTAGAGAAAGTAAAAATGACAGATTTTTTTTTATTGTCGTTGAAAAAAAACTAACGTTATATAATTAATAGTTTTCTATGGGATTACAGATTACTTTTCATTCTCCTAACATTACGTGATAATTTATTTATGAATGTTCCGGTCGAGTTAAATATTTAATCTAAAACAGGAAACTTTTTTGTGATTGTTCAATTATATGTTTATTAGATTAAATATTTAAATAAATTATATGTATTTGATTTTAAACGTACACACAAAACGAAATGATTCATCGCAGGATTTTGTGAATTTTCATTTTGCTATCGAAATGAAGACAAACAATTAAAAATACAGTAATTAATTATAATGTATACTTTTAGTTTTTAAATTGCGAAAGTCGACATTAAAAATATTAATTAACTAAGAGATTTACTATATAATAGACGATAATAATATATTAAAAAATAACTGGAAATGGATATTAATTAATTATAAATGTGTTTTTGAAAAGTGGATTTGAATTATAATTTAAGTTCAATATATTTCTGTTGACATTTTCTTATTAATTTTATAATAATTTCTCGATAAATTAGTGTAATTGGGACACGTAAATTATTGATTCGGAGACAAATTGATAATTTACCACTGTATTAGAAAAGATTAATGTATCAGATTATATAAAAATTGTATAGATTTACTAGCGAATATTCTGATTATGATGATGGTCATAAAGTTACATAATAACGAGTTTAATCTGTTGGAAAATTTCCGGATTTTTACTCGTATAGTGAAACATATTAAAAAATACACATAATATGTGTACACAAGTTTTAAAAATGATCTAGCAGGTGCGTAATCAAGGGACTTTACTCGTTATGCAAAAGGTCGCTCGTTAAGCGAGTAATTTCTCTTACAATTAATTTTTCTCGTTAAGCAAAATGCTCGTTATACGAGGTGCTCTTTAAGCTGGTTTCCACTGTATAAGTAATAGAAATTGCAAGAAAATAGAATACATTGAATGACTCGTAACGTAGAAACCATAAAACGTTACAGAGAGATCGAATTGTGTGTAATAAAGTAGATAATAATGATAAAGTCATGCAAATAATAGCCCCGAAGTTGTGAAACGAATATAATTCGATATATATAATAATAGATTGTAGTCTAGAGAGTGAGACTCTATCTCTAACCGCACCTTAATCAACAATAGTTTCATAATGCGGGAAAACTATTATTATTATTATTAATCCATTGTTCGTTCTTATCTCCAATATATGTTAGTTGTTTCGTTGACTGGAATCTTCATTCATAAAACAATGAAAACACCTTCGATTGAACGGGATCAATGGAGTTGTGGATTTCATACGAGATTCGCACTTTCTCTGCTCACCATTTTCAGTTCGCTTTCGTATCGATTGCGTGATGAAATTTTCAAAACCGCACGCGTCCCAACAATGCGCCAATTGCTCTTTTTAATGTATTTATTATATTTTGCAATGTCAACACTCAACGACACTGCTTTAATAATAACAATTTTCATTGCCAAATACTATAATTATGTAACAATATGAAAATGTAATTGTTTTAATTTAAATTTCAGCGCTGAGTGTATACGGAATTACAGTAATAACATGCGGAGCAATAGCCGTTCTACTGGTTCTCATCATTTTTATAGATACACTGAAATATATAATGAAAAACTCTTCGCCGAGAGTGAAAGCACACTCCGCACTGGTTATTGGAGTATATCCGGTAATTATACGTTTTAATTGTGTAACAACTGCTTGGAACGGGTGCATTAACATTTCTACATTATATTTCTACTTAAATTATTTGTTTTATTATTATATGATCTGTGTTTAGGTAGTAGCAGTGGCAGCGTTTTGTGCAACTCTCGTCCCAAGGGCACAACTGCTAAGCGAAGCAATGACACAAGCCAGCTTTATGGTCGGAATGTATCAATTGTTTTGTTTATGCGTCGCTTACTGCGGCGGCGAAGCAGAGCTGATTCGGAAGGTAAAGCCGGAAGCTCTTAATATGAAAGTTGGGCCTTGCTGTTTCTGGCCTTGCTGCTGCTTCCCAACGCTCGAAATTACAAAGTATGATTCTCTCATCTCAACAAAAAAACATAGAATATTTATTTATTTATTAAAAATTGCAGGCATCGCGTGCGATATTTGAGATTGCTAGTGCTTCAACTCCCGGTTGTCCAAGGGTTGGTCTACATGACCTTATTAGTGATGTGGGCGGAAAGAGAAGTACAATAATTGCTTTCTAAATTGCAGCGTTTACAATTTATCTTTATTTCAGAGCTTATATCAAGTGAACTATATGTACTTCCAACCCATAATTATTATATCGATCCTGTTCGGAATTTGGGGAATGCTGATGACCATTAACTTACTGAAGGATGTGCTGAAAGATTTTTCGATGCCAGCCAAATTCATGGTTCTTCAGTTCGTACTTCTTATAGCCAAACTGCAGGGATTAGCTTTCAGGATTGCGGCATGGACTGGCCTCTTGCCATGCCGAGATCCCATAAATTCCGAAGTTTATGGAAATGGTACATTTATACATTATTAATTATTGGAAAAAAACAATCAAAATTATTGTTTTCAGTGATACACAATACGTTGATGATGGGAGAAATGGTTTTGTTGGGAATCTTAGCTAGGAATTTATACAAGAAGGTTTTACCAGATCAAGAGACGAAAATGTGTGTTATTAAAACTATCGGATCCATAGTCGAAGAATTACAATTTTCCAATAATAATAACACACACATCCCCAATTTACAAAGTAACGACAACAAAGTTTGAACGTTATTTTATTAATTAATTTCGAAGTCATTAATTATTGAATAGAATATAAATTTGGATTATGTATATTTACTGTTATTGCTCTTTAATGTAATATTTTTATATGTTATTTTTTTATAATAAAACGAATGCATTTTTTTTAATACAAAATTTTATATATTTTTCATAACAAAGTCCATAACTATTAATAACAAAAGAAAGAAAAAATGCATTATAGACAACCAAACATACAATTAATTACTCAAATTTACAAAATGTCACGCTCTTAGTATATTTATCATAAATTTATAATTGTATCATTATAAAATACACATATTTTAATTAATATTTTATATATTCAATTAATTTTTCGCAGTTGAAATTATATTGGCAATATTATAAAAAATAAATTCTGTTAACATTGACAAATTAAAAAAAAATAGTTAGCTGGTTTTAAATTGTTAATAAAAATGGCTGCGAAAAGTGACAAAGAAAATGCTGAAAATTTCGATTCTTCTCAACAATTGCTCTTTATGAAAGCAAAATATGATCTTGAGAAAAAGGTAAATGTTAAAAGACATTCATTAAATTCTAATTATTGTTATTTTTCTTCGTAATTTAGATATTTTTGGAATTGGAAACGCAAACAATATCTTGTGAATTGGCGCAATCCAATGGATACAAGCGTTTTCTTTCTACCGAATTCGAAGCAGCACATGATGAATGTTTGAAGATGAAGCAACACAAGGAACTTCTCTCGGTCAGTATGATGTTTTTGCAACAGGAATTGGATAAGATTGTTAATATCTTGGGATTATTCCAAGAAGAGAGAAGTAAATTTCAAGTAATTGAAGATGAATTGCAAAAGACTTTTTGTCAGCATAGTATTAATTACAATGAGTTAAATCAACATATTAAAAATTTAATTGAAAATATTGAAATCTGCAAGACGATTAAGAATAATAAGGAAAAACTGAAATCAGCACTTATTATGAAGCAATCCATTCTAGTTGATTGTGATAGCAGATTATGTGATATTAAATTAAAATATAATGAAGATGTTCAAGTTTTATCAGATAGTTTATCTGATGGAAAATTGAATTTGAATAATCTCATTGCTACAAATGATATGTTGAAATCTTCGATTAACGCAATTTCGGAAGAATTTCATGGACATAATTTACAAGAAGTTATAGATAACAACACGAATCTAAAAACAATGCTGAATGACCATGAAACAAAAAGCAATATAATAATTAATGATTTGAACGATAAAATTTGCGCTCAATCCGAATTGTAAGTATATGTATCTGTTTATTGGTTATTCAACCAATTTTTAATTTTAGATATAATCAAGCATTGATTACACTGAATAAGCAAGAAAATGAGTGTACTGAAATAAAAAAAATAGAAAGCGATTTAACGATTTCCAATAATCAATGTTTAACTGAAATAGAGGTAAGAATTTGTTTTTTATTTAAATATAAATAGAAAATAAGTATTTTTTTAGGTAAATAAAGAAAAACTTGATTTGATTGAAAATTTTAAAGTTATTTTAAATGACTTTATTGAAAATAACAACAAGTATAATGTTTTAAAGAAACGTTTAGTGGAAGTTGAAAATAAAAATCTTAATTTTAAAAGTGAATACGAGAAGTCGAAGACTTTACTCAACAAATTAAAAGAACAAAATGGAGAAATCTATAAGAAGAACTTGGTTGAAGCTGCTGAGTTTAACGAATGGAAAGAAATGTACGAAGAAAATATTAAGAAAACCAATGAGGATTTTGAAGAACAAATCATGTGTCTTCAAAAAGAACTTTCTGAAATTAAGCAAATTAGTAGAGACGCACTAGAAACCCAAAAAGAAAGTTTTATCGATGAGCTAAAAGACGTTCAAATCAATATTGAAACTAGTAAAAAGGAACTGGAAAAACTTGCAGATGAAAATTCAGTTGTTGAAATACGTTATAAAAATGCGTTTGATCGAAAAGAAACGTTAACAAATTTGTACAAATCTATACAGGATTCAGATGAAAATAGTAGACCTACTGGAATTCTTAAGAATAATCGAGCTGAGATGATTCCTTTGAATTCTAATAAAAATGTTACATTCAGATCAAACGTTTCTTATGAAACTGCTAGCCAGTGTAGTGTTGACTCATTTCTAGAAGAAATTAAAAGAATCAATAATTCAACGGCTGTAAGTAGATTGATTTGAATTTACTACACATTGTCATGATAATTTTTTTTAGAGTCCAACTGAAAGTGTTGCCGATTTCAAATCTACAAATCAAACTCGTAAACGAAATAGATTTGATTAGGATTCATTTGGATCTATAAATATTTGAAGTAATTAATAATATTTCACTGTTTTCTGAATTTAATTATTTGAATATGTTTAATAAAGATACTTATTTTTCAAACAATTAAATACAAATTTTTATATCCTGTTGTGTTTTTTGGCACTATTTCTTCCCCTTTCGGCTTTATCAACCCCTACAATCTATGGGAATCGAACCAACGACCTTTTGTATCACATTTTCGTGATAAAATAAATGTTAAATATGTTGCCTATATAACATATTTTTGACACTAAGCAGAAACATTATTTTTGGTTATATTGTTATACATTTTCGTGTTATTCGTTTATGTGATATTATAAAAATGAGACGAAGAGCAGGTGTTGGTGCTATCCAAAAACATAAAATTGCTCAAGAAAAATACAAGGATAAAGGGAATGAGATTCAAGAGAATCAATTCGAGCAGATGACTAAACAACTGGAGGTTTTCCGAATCAATTTAGAAGATTTTGCTACCAAACACAAAAATGAGATTAGAAAGAATGCAGATTTCAGAAGGCAATTCCAGGAGATGTGTGCCACAATAGGTGTCGACCCATTATCATCCGGAAAAGGCTTTTGGTCAGTCCTCGGGATTGGTGATTTCTATTATGAATTAGCAGTGCAAATTGTTGAAGTCTGCTTGGCTACCAATGAAAAGAATGGTGGATTGATTAGTTTAAGTGAATTAAGAACAAGACTAATTAAAGCCAGAGGCCAAGGTAAGCAACACCAGGAGATTAGTATGGATGATTTGATTTGTGCTGCCAAGAAATTGAAAATATTTGGAAGCGGATTCTCTGTTGTGTCAGTGGGCAAAGGCCAATATATGGTTCAATCAGTACCAGGAGAATTAAGCATGGATCACACCGCTGTACTGCATCAAGCAGCAAGTTTTGGTCAAGCTTATGCATCAGTAAATATGTTGAGGACACAATTACATTGGGAAGAACAAAGATGCAGCAGAGCATTGGATCATATGCTGAAAGAGGGTTTAGCTTGGATCGATTTACAAGAGCCAACAGAAAAACGTTATTATTTCCCTAGTATGTTTACTGCATGTATAAACTCTAAATAAAAATGTATATAATTGTTAAGAAAATATTATTTAAATATATTTATTATTATTAAAACTATTTTGCTTCTTCAGCAATATCATTAAATTCATTACATAACTTGAATAAATGACCCTTATACTCATTACATTTCTTCTCTGCTTCACTTAATTGCGCTTCCAATTTCCGTTTGCTTTTCTTTACATTCAATATCTCTTTCCTTAGTTCTTCCATTCTCTTTTCCATTTTCTCGGTTACGTCCTTCACTTCTCTTTTCCATTTATGATTCAGATCGATTTGGCTTTGCAATTGCTCCATCAGTTCTTTATTCGTTTTCGCGTTGTTTGCTTCTATTTCTGAAAGTTTTTCAGTTAGAAGTCGATCAGATTGTCTATGGAATACGAAAATCACTTTATCAAATTACAATATTAAAATAGACTACTTACGACTGCTTCAATTCATATTCATGGTGCATATGAACGTCAATACTTTTAACTTTTTCATTCAATTCTTCCACTTTAATACCGAATTGTCCCAATTTCAGGTGACTTACTTCCAATTCATTTTGAACGTTTCGTATTTTAGCTTCCAGCATTCGTTTCTCCATTTCTTTATTATTTAATATTATTTCATTACTTCGCGTTACTTGTTCAATTGTAACTTTTAAACTGTCCACTTCTTCCAACAATTGTTGCTTTTTGCATTCCGATATTTGCTGAAAACAAAATTAGATACTTAACTGCAATACAAACATATCCATCATAATTACTAATTTACTATAAGCTTCTTCAAGTTTCATAATCGTAGCCGTTTTGTCAACGGTATTGGCTTGTTTCAATTTTACTCGTAAATCGGCTTCCATCTTCCTGAACTTTCTCAATTCCAATTTCTTTGCTTCTAAATCATCTTTAGTTTTTTTCAAATGAGTTTCTAATTTACAAATTTTATCGCTGTAAGTATTTTTCACAGCGTTTATTTCATTTGTGATTTTATTTTGGGATTCCTGTACAATCTCAGATAATGTTGTAGTTAATTTCGTCATTTCCTCTTGCGTTGTTTTTTCTCTGTGCAAAGCTGCGTCCTTTTCAATTAGTGCTGCCTCAGTTATATGACACGCTTCTGCTACCTTCAATTTGGCATTATAAATTTGTGCTTTCAAATCTTCAATCACTATTTCTTTTTGTTTCATAACTTGATTTGACTGTAAATGTTCACATTGCAGCTCTGAATATTTCTCTTGTTGCATTTGTGCATCTTGTTCCAATCCCTTTATCGTATCAAAAGATTTATTAAGTTTAGTATTTAGTTCTTCTATTTCTATGGACTTTTTACTTAATGTCTCTTCAGATGTTTGTATTGTTTCTTCTATTTTGTGGCGTGATTTTTTCAATTCTATGTGACATGATTTGATTTCAGACTCGTGCAATTTCCGTAACTAAGAGTGAAAATTATTTAACTATTGCGAAAAGCAATTGATTTTCTTTTTTATTTACCTTATTAATTACAGCCTTCGAATTATTCACACTACCTGCGGAATATAATTTCAGTTCGTTTTCTAGGCAATCGATCCTCTTGAGACTTGTTTTCCATAACTCCGATATGGACTCTTTCTCCTGAAATAATTGAATATTCACAACTTGCTCAATGATATTGAATCTTTTTACTTTTATTGATAGATTAAGTTGCCGCTTCAGGTTATCGATGAAATTAATTTCCGAATATTTGTAGACATCGGATGATTGGTTTTGAAGATTTAATGCTTCTTCCAGCTTTTGGTTCAACGACTTATTCTCTTGGTTAATGGCAATAACTTCCTTCTTCAAGGAAGAATGAGCATCCTGTATATATATACATAATGAATAATAAGATATTTATTCTGAGTTTACAAGAATTACCTGGTAATAATTTATTTGTTCGTTTAGCGAAGGAATAATATTTTCGTATTCTTTTATTAAATATTTCAAATATCTGTAAATGAACAAATTGTATGCGTTATAAATGAAGGACTTTAAAATACAAACTCAATATCGTTATCCATAATTTCGACAGTTTTGTCAAGTTTTGAAGTAATTTCAAGTGGGAAATGATTTCAAATTTCCCATCAGATGACGTGGCGCCGCTGAACATGGAAAGCTTTAACTAAATCGCAACGATGCGCACAACATCCAATGGTAATATTGAATCACCTCTCGCCACTTCAACTGCACGCAAAAGAATGCTGATGGTAGGTGCTTGTTTGTTGTTATCGAGGAAAAGGTTGTGAATACAAACACTTCAGCGTGAATCAATATTACTGCGCGGGAAACTCGTTCTAAATTTTCTAATGTGAGTATGTAAGTATGCAAATAGGTACTTGCGTTTAATTTCCTCGCATTGATCCATCTCAATCTCAAGGTCGGAACTTTTGTTCCAATCTGGAGACGAGGAAACTACCAAGAAGACTAAACTGTATTTCGATATAGACGAGGAACAATGGCCTATTATTTATAGGCCTGAGTATAATGTTCATTTTTGGGGATTGGAAAAGTTGCATCCATTCGACGCTGGTAAATGGGGACACGTTTATGAGGTAATTTAACGTGGAGTTCAATGAATTACAGATATACACATTATAACAATTTTAGTTTCTGAAAGAGGCCGGCTTGTTTAAAACCTTTCCTGTAGTAAAACCAAATGAAGCCAAATATAAAGATTTACTTTTAGTTCATTCCAAGGAATATTTAAAAAGTTTAAGGGTAATCAGGATTTATCAATATTTCAACAGTTTAAAAATATGTATTTCAGTGCAGCTTAACTGTAGCTTGTATAGTAGAAGTTCCTCCACTATGTCTTGTGCCAAACTATTTCCTGCAGAAACGCTACTTAAAGAAGATGAGGTATTCAATCCACTGAAAATAAATTATGATTGCATTTTTATTATGCTATGATTGTCTTAGGTATCAAGTTGGTGGATCTGTACTGGCTGGAAAAATTGCACTGGAAAGAGGATACGCTATAAACATAGGTGGCGGCTTCCATCATTGTAGCTCAAAGGAAGGAGGTGGATTCTGTGCATATGCAGATATAACTTTATTAATCGAATTTTTATTTAACTGTTACCCAGAACAGGTGAAAGATGTTATGATTATTGATTTAGATGCCCATCAGGTAATTTCAATAGCTCTCAAAATATACCATACAAAAAAATATAATTTGCAGGGAAATGGTTACGAGCGAGACTTTTTAACAAACACTCACGTCTATATTTTGGATGCATACAATAGAAGCATATATCCAAGAGATGCAGTAGCCAAAGCTGCAATAAACAGGAAAGTCGAATTGAAATTTATGATTGATGATATAGAATATCTAACGAAGATTGAAGCGTAATATTTCCAGTATAAAATATACAAAGGTAGAATCTTCAGCTTATTTTTTTTTTAGGAATGTGGATAGAGCGTTGACTGATTTTAAACCCAATTTGGTGGTTTACAACGCAGGGACTGATATATTAATTGGTGATTCATTGGGTGGTCTGGCTATATCTGCTGAAGGTATAATTAAGAGAGACGAGATGGTTTTCAGAAAAGTTACTGCGAAGGATATTCCCATCGTGATGTTAACTAGTGGTGGATATTTGAAAAAGACTGCTAGGATTATTGCTGATTCTATTATGAATCTGAATGAGAAAGGATTGCTTCAGAAGCCCAAGCACAGATATTAGTTGTATTAGAAAATGTAAACAGATATTTATTTATTGATATTTTGGAATCTTTTAAATTATATCTCTTGTTATAGTTATTATACAAATAACTAGTTATAGATTATTAGAATTTATTCAAAAGAAATATATAAATACAAATATTTAGATAAATAATAAAACAATTTTATCTGGCAGTTCTATTAAACTGATCATAATACGCAGCTGTTGGTTTATTGGTGTAAACAATTCTCTTCAAATATTGTTGATGGTTCTTTTGCTCAATGCTGAGCCGTTTATTCTCTTCCGCCACTTGTTTGTTGAGTTGCCTATAATCATAGAAACAGATTAGAATTTTCCTCAATGGACATAGCTTAGTTTTTTTTTTAAATAAAAGTATATTATTTGTTACACTAACCTTTGCTGGCGTGCAATTTCATTGTCCATAGCGCAAATAGTTTTTTGCAAATTGCTCACGTATTCATCGTAATCCTGTTCCAAACGTTTTTCTTGTAATTTCTTTTCCTAAAATGAATTTCATTTAAAACTGCTCAACATTGACTACTATCAATTAATTTTACTTTTCCTTCTAATATTTGCGCTTTCTGGGCTGCTATGAAATTCGCTTTTTGTGCAGCAGTCATGCCTTTAAATTGCGTAGCTACTTTTCTGTTAGGTCCAAGATTACTAGCGGTGTCGACGTTCTCCAACATCATATCGCTCATCAGAACATTATATTTATGAGCCATAGTATCTTGCAGCTCCTGCTTCGATTTTTCCGCATCTTTAAATGCTCTTTCGTCGGCCTTCAAAAAGTTTCAGTTAGTTAGTTTAATTAATGTATAGAATTGTTTAATTTAACCAAAGCTCGGTTGTATTCCGAGCACGCTTTATTCAATCTCTTCCTGCACTCGTTTTCTAGATTGGATAATTCGACGGCCCTTTGATCTCTAGCCATCAGGGCTGCTTTGTATGCGTTTTCCGCATCGATTCGATCCTTTTCAGCAGCTTCCTTCTCTGCAGTCTGCTGGTCCAAAAATGCTTTCAATTGCTCCCTCTGAATCGCAGCCCTCTCCTTACTATATAAATCTTCACCTTCGAACCTGAGAGAGAAATATTATTGTAGTCGAGAGCGCTCCAAACCAAGATATTACTTTTGCGCTGATGAAACTCCGCATCTTGGGTCATCGTCATATAGTCTCGCTGGGATTGCTTTGTACGTGTTAGGATCGTTCAGATCGTACTCCCTACGATCCTGCAGCTTTTGGAAATTCAAACGGAACGTGTTTATCTCTTGCGCTAATTTCTTGCGTTCCTATAAAGAGAAAATTGCTACGCGTGTTCCGAATATTTTAACTGAAATTACCGTTTTCTCCTGCTTTTCCAGTTCCTTGCTAATTTCCGAATATTGGGCCAGTTGTTCCTCGAATTGGATATCCCTTTGTCGTTCTTCCTCTTTCTGTTTCCGCTTTTGCTCCACTTGCTCATCAAGCGCAGCATAATCCAACTAAACGACTTTATTTTATATATCTCTATATATGCACTGTGTATATAAATCTTACGCTTATCCTATATTTGGGATTGAAAATGCGTTTTTTTCGTTCCTCGTCTAGGGCCCTTCGCCGTTCTATGGCTGCGGCTTCACGTCTATCTTGATCTGACATTAAATCAAAATTTAACATTTTCGCTGTTTAGATATAATATAAAATATATGTAAAAAAAAAACGGATAAATATAGAGCGATGTTACACTGAAGTAAATGTCACAAGTCGACTGTTTGTTACCATAGTTACCTGTTTGATCAAATTGGGAATTGGAAAACGTACGCATGCTTCACAGAAAAAAAACAAAACATTCATTAGTATAGTTTATTTGCATAATATTGCTCAAATATCTTTCAGTTTGAAGCAATAAATAAATATGGTTCATACAATATCGTACATACATTATTTTATAATTATTTAAGTAAATGTGTTAATATCACAAAATGAAAGCAGTTTTTATTTTATTATTTCAATTTAAAATGTAACAAAATTCAAATAAAATCAGTTATATTTACATGAAAATAACAAAACAAGTAAGCATTTTACAGCGTATAATATAATTAAAATTTAATCCTATTTGGAAAGTACTAATATTAACTAATTAATAATTTATTGAATTAAGTATAATATATTGCCATATTATAAGTATATCTATATCAAGTTACGGTTATATTGTTGTTATTATACCTTAAATACTAAGGTTAATATACTAGGCTCATAATTTAGAACAAACGCTTTCTTGGTTGAAATATCTTCACATAATATCGAACTAAACAAAAATCTTATTGTGCTAAACTTAGTTGTCTTCTTTTTTTTTTTAAATATAATTTATTTATTTTTATATATATTTAGTAATAATATAAGTTTTGTAGAAAATATAGCGTTTACACTATTCTGTTTTGATTCTCTTTTAATATGTTTTTTTTTAATATAGTAGAAATAGTGCACTCTCTTCACATAAAGGAGAAGCATATTATTTTAATATCATATAGTAAATAAAACGTTACGATATACTTTTTTTTTATATGTATATATATAAATATTTATTTGTAGTTTGCAAATAACTTCACCAGTCTATATATATCGTGGTCTTTATTAAAATATTGGATTTTAAGGAATTCCAATTTGCGTCCGGGTATGTTCATAATATTGATTACTGCTGACATGACTATGCCGTGCAAAAGTATTATATAAGTTATTAGACATATTATTCACTCCCCTAAATCTATTTATCTCAGTAATACATAAACTAATATCAAATGTTACGTGAGTAAATTCAAAATCAATATATATAGTATGTATGGTTCTCAATTAGATAATTTATTTGGATATTATCGTTGTTATCATATTACATATATAATAATATTATTTCATACGTTTTGGCCCATATTTGCCAAAAGTTATAATTTGATCTGCATTTTTCAAATTTATAATTTAATAGTTTAGAAATTAATCAAATTTGAAGTTAGTCATCTTACATGTTGATGAAGAATGAAGAATAGTTATTATTAAAAATCTTATAAATTTGTATTGGATTGTTCCAATAAGTAGAGCTTTCCGATTATGTAATTTACAACAAGTTTGAGATATTATGAAATACAAATTGAGATTGCAACAATTTTAATAGTGATTACATTATAAAGTGTAATATATTGAGATTATTAAGATGAGCGGCAGATATATCCGCCCTATCCTTTACATCTATTTGTTGATTATATTATTAATAAATCATCTTTTAGAAAGAATCGTTCAAATAAACAACATAACCGGAAGTATAAAAATATTTGTGTAGAACTGAATAATCAATGAAATACGTTTTTCATTTAATTGGAAATTTCATGTAATTGAAAAATTCGTTTATAACTATATTTCTTGTTGTTGTTGTTGTTGTTGTTTACGTTACATGTACGTTTAGGTACAAACATAAAAGCGAGCCGCTTTACACGATCGCATCAACCTATAAATATAAATTGATTTTTATTCAAATGCTTTTTATTTCGTTACACGTAAATTTTCGAGGAATGGGAAGTGAATCAAACTATTAAAAATTTAAAAAAAACTCACGAGATCTTACGCTATCCGGGTAGAAAATAATTTTCAAGGAACGCGAATAAAACATGACGTCCTTCGCCATTTTATGTGCGACGTCAGTTACATGATATTTAATTTAAGAAAAACATGTCTGCTCTCTTCTAGTTTCTCATTAGGTAGCCAATTGTTAGAATGTATGTTACTAAGTAAATGTCTGCAAAATTTACATGCATTCAGATACTTATTTACCTGACTTTATAAAATTAGTTTTATGTGTGAAATACAGCGTGTTTTTAAGTAAATTTGAATTGGATTCTTACAATATTTATAAATTCGATGTTTTGATAGTGTTTATCGACCAAGAATTTAGCAAATTTTAAATGATTATGAACTGTGTTTAATCATGTAATTTTATGTAATCTTTATCCGAATTCTATCATATGATCAATTACATGTATTTATTAGATAGTAACTTTCTGTACAGATTTAATAAAATTGAAAGTTTAAATATATTCTTCAAGGTATATTGTTTCATATTAATAAGAAATTTTTTTTAAATATGATCTATTATTTATCAAGTCAGTTTACTGTATAAATAAGCATATTAAATAATTATTCCATTAGTTATATAATAATTAAGTAATTGTAATATGTAGTAACTGCTACATAGTTAGTGGTCAAAGAAACCATTTGGTTTTGCGAGTTGCTTTCGTTACGTTGTGAACGAAATGGCAAAGAAAATCCGTCCGTGGCCGCAGAATAATTAAATGAAATTAGTTTTCATAATGAACAGTGTAAACTTTGTTTCTTCGTTTTGTAATTACAGGCGAACATTCTTCTGGGAAAGTTTCCAAAGAACAGTATTAAACAGTTCCATTATTCATACAGATTCTGTTCAATTGTGACCTACCATCTGTATTAATTAAAAACTTCATTTGCCACCCGTCGGACGAATCGTTTTGTGCTCCGTCATATTCCCAGATTTTCAATCAGAGAATACAACAGAAATGATTCCTGACACTTCAGGATGTTCCGTTCCTCTCGCGATGCACGAACAAGCCCCCACAAGATGAGATTTTCATTTAAATTTACCGAGCAAATAAGACGAGGGAGTGATTTCGAGAAACCGGAAAAAACAAACAAATAAGTTTTGCGACAATCGTAAATTGGTTTTCCTTGAAAATCCAATACCGTAAATAGTACTAAGAGCGTAAAGCTTATTACATATGATACTTGAAACAGATGTTTGTTATACGCGTGGTATGTACACAACTTGTATGATATGACTTGATGACACTACAATGTACAGTAGTGATGTAACAATAGTTTGAAGTCTGTCGGAGGAGGAATTAATGCGGGAGCTTTTTCTATTTGGGTCGTGCAAATTGGGAAAGTTTTACGGAATATTAGCCACGGTAATTAATCGAAAGAGCAGAAGAAAAATCCCGTTTTCTCTCTTTCTATTTATATATATATATATAGGTTGGGCCCAGTGCAAAGATTGATCCGAGTGAGACGCGTTCAGTTTAAACGAAAGGGGATTGGATTAATCCTGTCAGGACTCTTGACGTACCATCAAGGCCCGGGGTAATATGCGGGCGACCCACACTAATTATCCTCCGATCCGGACTCTTTTCATCATCCACTTCTAAACGTACGTGGATTTATTGCAAAGACAATTGAAATCAAAATATTGCTTGTGGAAATTATTATTGTGAAACTAAAGTTAGTCCAGTGCAGTCTTCATTAAGATAAATCTAGTCCGATGGCTTTGCGGCCTGCGTCGACGTGATCCGTGAGGGGGCTGCTCTCATCTACTTCAGGATGCTGATATCCTGTGAGGAAGTAACAAGTACCTGGGATATTTGGGGGAAAATCCTTCGGCAGGCAATCTCTATCTCTGGCATCGAAGGTGAATCCGCTGGATTCCACGAGTCGTCTGCAAAAGTAATGTTCTTTAAACACTTATTTCACTCTGAAATCTCACAGGTTTATTTTATTAAATTGCAATTGTAATCGAGATAAAGATTTGAAACCTTTTCATGTAAATACACTTTATTTCCCTGATTATTATCATCATCAAAGAGAAATTTATATATAAAAGATACAACATAATATAAGAAACTCAACGAAAATTAAAACTTACTAAAGCCAAGAATATAAGGATTTAAACATAATTATTTATTATTTTCCTATGGATATTGTCTGAAATTGTCAATTATTAATAAATATATAAGATATTGTTTAATTTTACTTAGTTTAAATTAAATTTTATTGAAGAATCTGGTTTCTTGAAAGTATAAAAATTTCACTTTATCGGTACTTAAAAGGACTATAAAAGGGCTTTCCGGAAAATTGATTTTTTTTAAGATTTTAAAATCCGTGATTCGTAGATTGATAACAATGTTGAACAACTGTTAGTATATTTTTATGAACAATAAATTTTTAGTTATTATAATTATATAATAATAAAGGAATGTATTGTTATCATCTCCATTATTTTCCATTAAACATGTATTTCATTATTTATTCATTCATTCGTGTTAAAATTTTACTAATTTATCAAGAATATGTCGGAGAGATTTCCCGTGTTAAGTGTAGATGATTTATTCGGTAAGCTTATAGTGTGTTGAAAGCGGAAGGAGCTCGAATGCATCATAATGAAAACGATTGTTATTTATCAAAGAAATTTGCCTCGCATAACTCAAATTTTCAACGAGATGGAGAGATGATACTTGACACATCGTACATCCAACGGATCGTCAATCTTCGGAACGAGTCTTCTGACGCAAATCGTCGAGCTTAGCAAAATATTATTTCCAATAAGAGCATCATCGATTGCTGAACTTGTGTCAACAGAAAATAAAAAAGTGCATCGAGGAAAGTTTATAATTAATTACAATTTTCATTTTGCATAGATGCCGGGATATAGTCGTCGCATATTAAGTGGTATTAACTTTTGCAATTATTTCGAAGCTGGACATGCCAAACGGACCTTCTCCAACATCACAGCTTGAATTTTAAACCGTTGCCGATTCGGAATACTAATAGAATTTTTCCTTATAAGAGCTCTATTTTATTTTTCTCATATTACTTTTTTTTCAAGACTTTTACGAGTTACTTACATGTACGTCGTGGGGCTGACGTTTATTTTAAGTGGTTCACTGCCAGATTCAAATTTATTAGCGATCGTCACGTTGTGTCCGAACATGCAATACCTAGGCATCTTTACACCGACGATTCCAGCAAGAACTGTTCCAGTATGTAGACCGATACGCATCTGCAACAAAACACACACAAACAACATAAGAAAAACTTGTGTTAAGAAACTATTATCGCTGCAAAGAAGTGCCTAATTTATAGTTAATGCTTCTATGCATTTGGCAAACGTTTTCTCCGTTGTGTAACTTTGCGAACCCTAAAATGGTAATGGATTCCAGACGCATTTGCATAAACACACAAAATTAATGTTCACTACACATATATAAGCATAATGATTAAGAACATTAAACCTTGCTGCCAATGACCCCAAATTTCTATTGCAAAATGCAAACATACTTAATAATTATATAATAAATTAATCGGTATCTATCTTAAATTCAGCTAATAGATTTATATTATTTAAAGAAATAAAAAGAATAATTTATGGAATAATACTAAAAAAAATATTGCTTAAAGTTTCTAAACTTTTCTCATAAAATTAGGATTAATTTGAAATTAATGTTGGGAAAAGTAGAGTATAAATTCATAAATAAGAAATCCCGACTGTATCAAAATTCCG